ACACTTGTCCACCTCTGTTGTAAGGTATCCAGAAAATAAATACTGTTATTACATAGCATACAACTACTGTAAAAAGAAGAGAGAGAAGAAAGAGTAGAAGTAACAGAACGAGATTCGATAAGGACAAGCACCAAGTTCTCCAGCTAGGAAAAAGAAACCAAATGGATTGACACAAGATGGGGAATACATGGCTCAATAGGACTGAAAAAGAAAAAGATCTGGGAGTAATTGTGGACAATTGTTGGCTAAACATGAGCCAACAATGTGATGCAGCCACCAAAAGGGCAAATGCTTAATGCATTGGAAGTATTACTTCCAAATCACAAGAAGTAGTAGTTCATCTATACTCCTCACTAGTCAGACCTCATCTGGAATAGTGTGTCCAGTTCTGGGCACCAAGACTTAAGAAAGATGCAGGGAAATGAGAAAGGGTGGGGCAATGGAAATGCTCCAGGATTGGGAAACCCTGCCCTATGAGGAGAGACTGAGAGAACTTGGCATGTTCAGCCTTGAGAAGAGTGAGGAGGGACATGATATCCCTGTGTAGGTACCTCAAAGGCTGTCACGAAGAGGAAGGTCAAGATCTTGCTGGTGCCAGAGTGTAGGACACGGAATAATCAAGTCAAGTCTCGACAACCCAGATTCAGGCTGGACATCAGGAAAAGCTTCCACACTGTCAGAGCAATACAACAGTGGAACCAGCTGCCTAGAGAGTTGGTGGGCTCTTCCACACTAGAGACATTCAAGAAGACACTGGGCAGGCATCTGAGTAGGATGGTGTAACTTGGTATCCTGCAACAGCAGGAGGTAGGACCCAATGGATGTCCAATTCTACTATTCTATGATTCAATGAAGTTGGGTTGGGTTGGGTTGGTTTTTACAATAGACCACTGATTATGTTGTACATTTTCTTCCATTTCTGTTAATAAGGCTTTAAAAAACTATTTCCAAATCCTGCAAAATGAGGCAAGAATAGAAAAAATAAGTATGCCAGTACTATCTACAATCTTTTTTTTCCAACTGTCCTCTAGGTCCTTATCTCTGAGTCAGGAAGTCAAGAGAAATAAATATAATATTGTATTCTTATGACTAATTGCAAGGCCACATTATAAAACCATACATTTCTCTTATGTGAATAAAGTGCCACTTAACCTTGACTTTAGGCATGAAAGTGGGCTGAAATAAGTAAAATAAATGTAGAGATAGTGACCTTAATCCTTCTTCTGAGTTTTTGTTTTCTTAGAAACCTTCTGGCATTTGAACCCACTCCATTTCCTGAGTTTGTTTTTAATCAGCTACCCTCTTCTTCAGCATAGTTGTCATTGCTTCTGTCAGCTTTCCTTCTGCTAAGTTCAGAGACCTTGCTGTTTGAACCACATCTCATGAGATTTCTCTGATACAAAGAATCTAAGGAGAGCCAAGCTGGATCAGAGCAAAGGGGAATCTGGTCCAGCAATCGGTGTGCACAGTGGCCACTCTGCTGCCCATGGCAAGCCCACCAGCAGGACTTGAGTGTCACAGTGCCCTCCTGTTCAGGTGTCCTCTCAGTTGTGTGAGAGGGAGAGGTGTACTGCTGAAACCCCACTGGATATTTCCTCTTTTCCACCAGCCCCAGCCCAATGAAGCTACTGCTCCTGGGCCCAGAGCAACACCACAAATTTAGCACAGATGGACGGAGAGACGGATGGATGGAAGAAAGAGAAAAAATTGCAGTTTTCAAACATTATGACAAACAACCCTGCATGGAGTACAGTTTTTTAGTTCAGTATGCCTGACAAATGATCAGGCTCATGGTGGTAATGCTCCTTCTTCCTGCCATCTCCTTCCCTCTCAGTTCCTCCCAACAGGATCCTGGGAGGCACTGTAAGGGCAAGGAGGCTCCTGTCTTGGACAGCTGCAATCACAGCTGTGTGAGCTGAGCTCCTCACACGGCAGCCACCGAACAGCCCCTGCTCTGCAAACAGGGCTCATGGCCTGAAGCGCAGCAAAGGAGGGTGGGGTTCAGCTGGGCAGCACCGCAGGAACAGCAGCACAGTTCAGCTGGCTCCCTGCTCCTGCGCACAAACAAGAGCGGCGAGGTTCAGGTGGACAGTACCCAGCTGCAGAGAGGGCTGCTCAGCCAGTTCCCCTGCTCACCCTCCCTTTCCCACTCCCACTTCTCAGAAAGGCATCCCCACTGGGCGGCCACCTGAGCACCTCTCTTGCAAGCAGCAGCAATGATGGAAGGTAGCATGCGGACCCCGTCTCTTGCCCCCACTTGCCAGGGAGCCATGCCCAACCTGATGCCCACGGAGGGGATGCTGGTTTGGGGACACCTCTCTGCCGAGTGCCCACAAGAATGGGAAGCAGCAGAGGAACCACCTGAGTGGCATTGCCCGCAGCCAGGCAGCAGGCCCAGCTGGATTGCACCCCTCTTGCTCAGAGGCAGTGGGGAAATCAGCTGAGTGGCGCCATTTCTTTCTACCGCACTGCCCGGTGGATCGCCCACTCCAGCCCCAAAGAAGATGTTCAGGGCCGAGGAAGGCAGAGCTGGGGGGCAAGCACAGCCTTTGTGCAAAGTGGCAGCCATCTGCAGTGCTCTCTGGCCAGCTGTCTGGCTAGAGGGGCAACAGGCCACTCTTGCAAAGCGGCTCTCTGGCTCTCGCCTTAGTACCACAATGAGTTGTGTTTTCTGGGCTCAGATGACCCAGCAAGCCATCGTGGTACTGGGAAACCATAAAGCAGACTGTTATTTTTGTTTGTTTATAGTTTCTAAAGACTTGCTCTACCACAAAGGGGTTCAGATAACACCCCAGGCCACCACTGGTGAAAACAAAAAGCAAAAAGCAAAGCACCGTGGATTGTCATGTCATGCAACTTTCCCAATGTGCAGAAGTCACAATATAATTGGCCTGGAGAAATCTGGATATAATGGCAGACATAATATGGTGAGGACCAGTTGAGGCGACTGCCACCAGTGGCACACCAGTCAGTCAGGCAGTACAATATCTGCAAAAATGACCAGCAGAGGTTGCCCCAGATCATAACTGCAGAATGACATTCTGATAGATTTCTTTCTTTCATGAATTGGCTTTCTTCGAACATGACATTTATGCTGCCTGACACATACTGAAAATACAGCACTTCCTAGGTCTTCTATACCCTTCATTCTACCCTGTCACTTCTCACCACGGATGAGTCAGAAAACTACAGTAAAATACTTATGATCATTTGTGTCCTCCAAAATTCCCCTCAACGATTCAGGTTTATCAGCATAATTTTGCAGCCTTCATCTGTGCTGAGTGAAGCTATGAACCTGGCTCTTCTAGGTCCAGTCCTCTAGGGACTAAAATCCCTATCACTTCCCATGGCTCATGCTGGCTGGAACTGCTGCCCAAAACATTGGGACGATGGCTGGAGAAGGCTGCGCTGTGCCATGCTGGCAACCTTTCATCCCGAGGAAGTACCAGCCCCACATGTTCTTTTCTACTGCTGGGGACACTGAGGCTTTGGTGAATGGGGCGGCATAAAAATGTTTTAATAAAATAAAAATAAATAAATAAAAATAAACACACATATGGATCCAGTCTAGATCTATTTTTGCCCCCAAGCCTTCAGATTTCAAATGGATTGAGGAGAACACAAAAAATGGGTGTTCCAAAAATGGTGTCCATCACTCTTGGTGCACTACAAAACCACCAAGCACACGTTGACTCAGAAATAAGTCTCAGGTTGTTGTCTGGATTGCAACCTCACATGATGTGGAGGGGAGCTGCCACAAAGCAGCTCTAACTTTATTTCTTGTGTGGCAAAATTGCTGTGATGATGAGCAGATGGATGTAAATCATGTAAATCATGGTTTGCCATAATACATTAAATTATGGGATGTAATTAAAAGCATTTGAGGTAGCTAGGAAATTCCTTTGTACCCTACGGATGGGCTACCACATAAATAAACCACCCAGAGAGTCCTCTGGGCTATTGGGGTGGTATATAAATGCAATAAATAAATAAATAAAAATAAAAGTAAGGCATGCTTCATTAAAGGTAAATAGAACCCTCTAATAGCCCAAACCCTCACTGATGGTCATACAGAATCAAAGGCTGAATTACATATTAAACCTGAATGCATAAAACCCAACAGGTGTTGGGAAACGGAACTTCAATAAGGTCGCGTAGAGCAGAGAAAAATATCTGTACTTTTTTGCTCTTCTCTTTTCGCTTTCTGGGCTTCAAGACATGTTTCTGTCTTGAAGGACCATGGCTTGGACTTCCGAAAGAAAAAATCGCATGGCTGGGGTGCGGTAGGGAGAGAGTTGTAACAAAAAGGCAGTTGGCAGAGAAATCATAAAGCAACACTTCTGCCACCACGTTTTGTCCATACATTAGCTGTACATCCTCCGTGCAAGAAAAGAGTTTCTTGTCCTCTTGGCATGAAGTAGCTAGAGTGTCAGATAAGGATTCTTTCAGCATGAGAGTTTTACTGCATGCTCATTCTTCCCTTCTCATGTCCGCTTACAGCTTCTTTATATGATGTTATAACCTTCCAGTTTCACTCGCTTTCAAACAACACTTTTGGCAAGAGTATGATATGAAAAATGCTATATTATTTGAAGAAAGTCAATAAACCCACTCATTTTTCCTTTGTGTATTTGCACTTTTCTGCTATACTACAGTGCCACCTAGGGGTTGTGTGGAAGAAAAGTAGGACAGGAACCATCCTTTGTGTAGTGCTTGGATCTTAATTTTGTGAAACACCAAAAGCAGATACAGTGTGTTACCAGCCTCATGTTGAGAAATTCTAAGAATGAGCAAGTTCAGGTTCACTGAGTGGCTTTTGGCCAGTCACGACTACTCTACGAGGCTTACAGGTCTGCTGTGAGTAGAAAGGATTCTTTGCCCCTTTGAGGAAATGTGGGATATAGACATTATAAATAAACAACTAAATAAATATTAAAAAACCAAAATAACAACTAACAAAAATATTGTAAAGAAAACATTTGCAACTCAAAGGTTCTTACCATTCAGAGTTTCATCTTTGGCCAGGTAATTCCGATAAAACAGCACCAGTTCAATCCAGTGCCAGTAAGTCAGAGTACCTCCCAAAATGACTCCAAGTAGAAAGATAATGGTGCAACATAAAGTGAGCAAGAAATGGAGAGCTAAAAGTAAGGGGGAAAGCATGGCTTTAAAAAAAAGAAAGATCAAATGCAATACATAATTAAGGAGAGCTAAAACATGCCATTAAATATCCATTACTCTGGACATGGATGAAATGGTGACTGTCTTCTCCTATATATAACAAATCAAGAGGCAGCTTTTGCAATCTTAAGGGGTTAAACCACAAAAGAGCCACGGGTAGCCCAAATGGCTTGTAATTGTGGCAGAGGGAACCAATACCAGGTGCTCCAAAATGGTAACTTTATGGGCAACTGGCACTGGCAGGTACCTGGTCACACTTGACAAGTGTGGCAAGCGAGTCACTATCCAATCTTTAGTGCCCATGATGGTGTCAGCCACCCAGGTTTGGATGATATGACAACCCATCATGGGTACAACAATTCCTAGAAGAACCATGGGTAATTTGGTTACCAAATCAAACAAGCCACCTTCAGGGATGGTTTCAGGTTTGCGTGAGGCAAAAGCCCATCCCTCTAAAGCCCTCAGGGCCAAAGAAAATGGGAAACCATCCGTTCAATAGGAAATTGTCAGACCAATTTCTGACTGATCACTCCTGGCCCAGCAGGGATCTTCTTATGTTTGGAGGAGGAGGAGCCGAGAAACTAGGGCAAGAAAAGCACAGCTGCCAATTAATTTCCTGGAAAGGAAATGATATCACAGCTGTAAAGCTAAGAGTCAGTACAGGAACGTCAAATATCACACTGCAAGAGGTTTCCTGTTTAAATAAAAAGATCAGATAATTGAAGGGCAGGTTTCATAACAGTTATTAGTGAAGTAATCCTAATAAAACAAAATATATTTTGCTAAATTTACCTTTCTCTTTCTTTTTCCTAAGCTTGAACATGCCTGTAGAGTTTCCAACCGAGTTTTGAGCCAGGCAGATGAAGTGACTGCTTAAATCTTCTTCAGCTACTTCCTTCAGCTTGAAAACAAGACTAAAGATTTGGCCTTCTAGTCCCTTTGGATTGACCCTAAACAGAATAATGCCTCTGTTATCCATTGACATCTTTCTTTCTGACATGTTTGCAGGTGTCCTTGGTGTCCAGCAGCAAGTAAGTTTCCTTGTGATGTATAAGTGTCTGCCCTGATTTTCCCAACAGTTATGACTCAAAGCCTGGGTTCACATGCTTGGGGAAGGGGGGGGGGGAACCACAGTGGCCTCATTTGCATAATTACCATGACACTGCCATTCCATGCACTGCCTCATTTGCATAATTGTCATGGCACTGACTCCTGTGTCATCTGAAGTGGATGGTGGGAGATGGCTTCCAAACTATGTTGGAACCCTAGAACAAAACAGGGGTTCTGGGATGGTTCAGCACCCACCTTCACTTGGGTTCAGGCAATACAGCAACCCAGTTAATTTTGGAAATGAGGTGGCACATGACTGCTACTGTGACTTCTTCTGCATTCCTTAGTATGGAGCCTGGCCACTGGGATGAATATCATGGCAGGGTCATATGCAGCAGCCACACAGAACACAAGTTTGCACAGAGGGTCCTTCTCATGGGACTTGGTCAAGGTGATCTCACAGGAGCCACCACATTGGAGTCGTTTATGACATTTGTAGCTCAGCCATCCTCCAAGGACCTCAGAATGGTATACGATCCTATCTTATTGCAACTCCACAGCATCCTTTGTGTGATGCAGGTGAGGTTCAATGCAGAGGAAAAGCTCAAGCCCATACACTGCTTAGCCCTAATTTGACACAGTAACCCACACTCAAGGTTTGAATGTGGCTTGTCTTGAACTATGTGTTGTTGAAATATGGGTTATTCCACTGTTTGAACTCCGCCAGTCATAGTTTCTTCACCACAAGCTACCTCAGAGTCCACAACTCAGCAACAAATCATGGTCATTCTTCATGAGTTGATTATGGTTTGTTAGTCCAGCTGGATCCAGACAATTCAAAAACCCATATTTCAACCCACGTCCAGGCCTTAAATATGGATTTACATGCTGCTGAACCTAGTCTCTAACTACTATGCCCCACTGAGTCTTAATATCAGGGATAAGAATCTTCCAGTGCATGGGCTTCCCCATGTGGGCCACTGGCTTTTCTCCCAACCCCCTCCCAGGCTTTGCCCAAGTGCTAGATCAAAGCTATTATTCAAGGCATGTTTACCCTTTGTTGCCCCTGTCTCGTCATCATCTCATCAGACAATAAAAGACATTGTTCTTTATCCTTTGGAAAATTTGTGACCTACCACAGGAATACTGCTCTCTTTAAAAAGTTGCTGGCCTCTACTTAATTTTGGAGCTCATTAGGCATGCCATGAGACGAGCCAGCTAGAGCCGGGGGTCAGACTACATGGCCTGGGAGACCCCTTCTAACTCACTCTGCTTCTATGCTTCCCAGCTCAGCATGTTTGCTTCTATATGCAAAAATATAAGTAGGATTAACAGCTGGGGAAAGATTGCCAAGGCAGAAATGTGGAAACAAAGTGATCCTGATTATATAGTGAGGATGAGAGGAGGAATAGCCTTCATCAACCACCTCTACCTGCACCTTCATTAACTCCTTCTAATTGCACCTACGTTTTCATGACTACCCTCTGCCAGCACACCACAAACTTGTTTCCTGACACAAGTTTGCAAGCAGACCATCCTTTCACAATCTTGTGGTTTCTGAAACAAAGGGGAAAGTAGAGAAACACTTGCCCCAGCAATCAACCAATTTCTGGGGTTGTTTCAAGACCCTCTAGTTTCTTTTCCACTAGCAGCTGGTTCTGCCAGGGCAAGAGACCCAGTGGAGGCAGAACAACAGCCCGGGTTATGCCCGTGGGGTGTTCCAAGAGGAACCAGGCAAAAAAGCCACTGGAAACATTAAGAACACGGTTCTGAATGCACAATTCTCTTGTTCTTTGGTTGCACTATAAAAAATATGCTTCATCTTTCTGTTGGACACATTCCTTACCTTTTTAGCTGCAGCTGTTGTTCATTTTTGCTGGTTTTTTTTAACCATCGCATTGATGATGAAGCACTCATTTCAAAACCAAACTGGGCTTCGCATTTAAGCTCAAACTGTTTCCCTGATGGCAGGGGGAGAGAGAAAAGGCTTGAGTGGGAGAGGTGGCAGACACAATAGGCAAATCTTCCAAATCTAACTAGAGAACTACATGCAGTCCTTGGGTTACAAATGGCTGAGTTACAAAGAACCGGTACATGCGAATGAACTGCCATAAACCTTGTTTATTTTTTTAATACTGCAGAAAATTGTCATTACCATAGAAAGAGACGAAGCAGAAGGGGAGAGAGGGAGGCCTCCAAAGCATGCCTTCGTGCTTCACCCATCCAGAGAGGGAAATCTCTGCTGGGAGGAGAAGGCACTGGTGAGTTTGAGTGGGGGAAGTATAGAGCTATTCAAAGTTTTTCATGGAGGTCTTTTACCCCTAACCCCCACAAATGTGGGGGGTTGACTATATGTGATCCAACTTACCTACAAATTCAACTTAAAAGACAAATTTCCATTTTTCAGGAATGGAACTTGTTCATAACCCAAGGACTGCCTGTAGTTTACACCAGTTTGAAAATGCTGGTATGTTCTCTTAATTATACAGCCTTTGAGAACTAGCGGATACATTTGAAATGACATGGGGTGATATCAAAGGTTTAACTGTAATTAATTGATTTAAGGAAAATGATTCCACATTCTTTGAATGTAACCATGGAATCATCTGTCCATTCCAGTATTCATGGCAATTCACTGCAAATTAAAGCCACAAAATCATCACAAAAAGAAAACATGAAGAAAAAAAACAGGTATAGCAGTTAAAAATGTTAGTGTTATAAGCCCCTTAACTGTCCTTGAACCAGTAGGTGAAAATGCCTGCCAGGAGGAAGAGGAGGAGGAGGATGTCATCTTAACTGGGGCGCAGGAAGCAGGGAGCCAGCCAGAACTTCTGAATCAGGGACTTCCATAATCTAGTGCAGCCAGAGAGAATGGCCCCTGCTTTTCCACCCACATCCCAATCAGTCACTCCTCTGTCTTAGTCAGGGCAAGGAGAAAAGCTTCCCTGAAAAGCCTTAATGAGTGAACAGGCTCACATGGAAAGATACATGTTACATGAATTCTTTTAGGTGTTCAAGATCCAACAGCACTGTTGGTTATTACCACAAGTCAAACAGAGACCTGTGATGTGACACTCACCCATACAATCTATCACAATGCTGTAGTCATCAACTGATGAGTGTGTGTGTGCGTGTGTGTGCCAGTCCTTAGATTATCAGAATAATCTTTACACTTTTTCCAGAAATATTATGTTTCACTTGACTGTCATTGTGCAGTCCAGGCAGGTGTGAATGAGGGCAGTCCAACTGTGGAAAGGTTTTAAGTTTTAGATGTAGCACAGGAAGAACTTCTTGTTACACTGCTATATGAGTAAACCCTTTCCTCTTGATCAATAAGTATATAATGTATGTGTGGTGACACCCACATTGCAGCTGCATTTCCACTGAATCTGTTGTGCCACTGGGAACCACTGCTGTGCATTGGAGAGTCAGAGCTTCCTCAAGTTACAACGAAAATGCTTGTTTCCAGACCTGTACAGGTCAACAGACCTTCCATTTACTAGCTCCACAGACCTGTCCTGATCTAGAATTAAGCATTTCTACTTCTTTCCAGTTACTGTATTTTTCGCTCTATAAGATGCGCCTGACCATAAGACGCACCTAGTTTTTAGAGGAGGAAAACAAGAAAAAAAATATTCTGAATCAAATGGGCACATAATTACAGGCACGTTCCCCATCACTTCCCCATGGGCTGCACATCTGACAGACTTACTGCACACACACATTCGCTCTATAAGACGCACAGACATTTCCCCTTACTTTTGAGGGGGGGAAAGTACGTCTTACAGAGCAAAAAATATGGTAGTTTAGGAACTGCTTACTCCATGACTTAGCAGAGGATCCTACAGGTTCACAGGCAGATCTACCTTCTAGATTGCAAAACAAATTAAAAATGTAATCAGCTTACCAAGTTCTACTTCGAGAGTCCTTACATCACTGGGATCCAGGACTTTTGGAGGATTTATAGTGGGTTTTGCTATAATATAAAAAATAGGATGTCAAAAGCATGAAGTCTATTTATTAGGCTTCCTAGTAAATTTTGCACTTGAAGAACCTATTCTTTAAACTTGTAAACTGTTATTGTTTACACATAGAAATCCATGAGAAAGCACAGACAACATGGTTTCATTTGGGTGAGAAATGGAAGGCACCAGACAGTTTTAGCAGACTGTGTTATCAGCAGCCCCTTCTTCCTCGTTTGGACAGGTAGCCAGCTGCATAGACAATATAACAGCCACTGTCAATGATACAGGATTCTCTATAATGGTTGCAGCACTCCGAGTCTTCCTGCTGCAAGCTCCAGCAGACACGGCGCTCAAGCTACAGGCTTGGCCTACCATGATTGTGGTGTGCCCTCCTAAATCGTAGCTTCTAAAAAGAATTGTCTGCTTGCAAACTTGTGGAGATCTTTCCCACCACCCATTGCTGGGAAGCACAGCTTCTCCCAAATCTGAATTCAGCCCTCAGGCTGAAAGAGCACTGGCTTCAGTCCATTTTGGAAATGGGAATAAGAACTGAATCTCAGTTCTGACACAGGCTGATTGTTGGACTATCCTCTTAAAAGCAGCAACAGCAGTTATTTTCCTTGTTTCTACAGCAACTTTCCATTTATTGTGTTTAGTTTTTAGATGTCAGTCCATTTATTTTCTGAAATTTCCCCTTGCTGGAGCAAATATTTCATGACATTTAGTTGAGACCACAAGATCCTTTTGATTACAGTTTCAATTGTGATGTGACTAATTTCACATCCCCACATGGTAGAGGCTAAATCTATATTAAGTTATTTTCTAACTGTCCAGTATGTCCCCAAATTGATCTTGTGCACACAGTAACATCCAATAAATTGGGTTGATAGAGGCTAAAAGGTGTACACAGTCTGGAACAACAGAGGCAAATAAATTCTATTTGAACATCTTTAATAAAAAATAATAGAAGTAAAAGACTATATAGGAATTTGATGTGGTGTGGGAGTAAGGGTGTTGAATTGGGGACCAGGTTCTAGTTCCTAATCAGCCATTAAGCTCACTGGGTGATGTTGGGCCAGTGGCTCACTCTCAGTCTCTCATGACAAGGATATTCTGAAGATAAAATGGATCTATATAAGCTGCCTTGATTTTGTCACAAGAGGAAAAAGGATGGGAGATAAATGCAGTGTGATAGTGATGATTCTATGAGCCACCTTAAGCATTACTTTCAGTGAAAAGGTAGGACATTAACAAAACAGATATATATCAGAACATAATACGCCAAACGTATAGCGACTTACAGATAATGGTCACATCTATTAATGTTCTCATTGTCCACTTGGTATTGTTGTCAGTCAGTGTGTAATCACATGTGTAAGTACCATTATCTTTGTCATAGACAGAACGTAGTTCTATTTTATTGTGCTTAATTTTCAGGCCTGGTCTTATGTCAGTTCGAACTCTTACTTTTGCTCCATTCTAAGGGGAGAAGAAAAAAAGAAAAATTGTACATGTTGCATTAGACAGTAAAACAGGGCTTGGCCAATGGCTAGTACTGAATCTAGTGACCTGAACCATCCTTGGCTTCTTCTGCCCCAAATTACCAGCTCTTCATTTCTGAAATGGCTTGGAGGGAGAGGCAGGGGGCTAGAATGCTCCTGTTTCTTCCCTTTGATCCCCGAAAGACAAAATGGCTTGGTAGGATGAAATCAAAGAGAAATCTGTGCATAAATGAGATTGATCTTTCACCACCCAGTCACTAAGTCCCACACTCACCATAGCAAACATGGCATGAGGACTTCTTACACAAGCGCAGCTTTTCCCTGTCATACAGAGCTTTCCTGCATAAAAGTGTTGATCTTGCTGTTTCTGCTTATGGATATTTTGTAGAATCAAGATCTAATCTTTGCATTTCCCTGCCCACTCCCAGCTGCTCTTCTGTACTTTCTGCTACATAAGCATTAGGAGACATTATGATTCAGTGGAACAAAATACATCAATATAGTGTAACTACATCAGTGGAGATTTTGGAGATTTGGGAATTTACAGATGCCAAAAAAAAAAAAAAAAAAATCAGATTTACACCAGCACCCCAAAATGCATGAAAATGCTTTGAAAGCACAGAGCAGAGCTGGAGGAAGGAAATGGTATCTAAAGCACCTGCCAATAACATGAGTAAAGAATAGTGGGAATAAAACAGTGAATATTCACAGAGTCTTGTCTAGAAAAGCTCTGAGTATCCTTTGCCTTGGAAGTCAGTATCACAGGCTGAAGGGAGAACTGATGTCTTTGAGGTCCCCGCTCCTGCAACACCCCCCCCCCACCAGCCTGGACTCAAGAACAGGCTCAAGAAGATAGCTTGTCCCTTCCCAACCCACCATTTCCTAAATGAAGCTGAAATAAGACGCTTCAAAATGTTTACCCAAGCGCTTTGATGGATTTTGAGAGTTACACTTCACCAAAGATTTGTTGGAGTTTTTACCCAGTGCTTTCTCACAGTGTGTTCAAAATGAGGTTCCAAAAGGAGCCCAGCAAGCTCAAACCAGACTTGCCTAATATGTTGTTTCCTGCAGTGACTCTGCGAGACCCAAACACAGGAGATGAGTGCAACCGTACACACAACATACAAGCCCATCTCTGCAGTTACTAGTATTCAAAAGCACCGATTTCTGGGATAGTATAAAGACATCTTGACAAGCAGTCACTGAATGAGTGACCAAAATATAACTTAATGTGAAAAGGCATTTTCACATTGCAAGACATTTATTGTGTGCCTGAGATTCTTTAGTTATCATAGTTTGCAGGCTATTCAGATTGTGTTGTGACCCTCCAGTATTTTGAAAGCACTGCCTTCCCCCTTGTTTATAGAGAGGAGAAAATGAAGAATTATTTCTGAGAATGAAAGAAAATGTATTTTCCTACTTGTGTGATTGAGATTGTCTGCATCACCTAGAGTTTCTAAAGCAGAAAAACAGGGCAAATGCTGAGAGCACAGAGCTAAATTCTGCGGTGGAAACCAAAATAGATACAGTAAGTAACAAGCTTGTATAGAAAAGCACTCAATGTTGGTTGCATTCCATTACACTACAGGAAAGTACATCTTTCTTCCCCAAAAGGCTTTAATTGCATAGTAAAGCTGATAGAAATGAATAAAGTCATCTTTGTATATATTGCTTCAAGGATAATGACTCTTACCTTGTACCATTTAACTGAGTGCGAAAGATTCCCGAAGCAACTTTTCCCTGGGCAAGCAATAGATGTCCCTTGTCCAACTAGTAGCTTTATGTCATTCAGTAACTTATCTGAACACTGAGCCATCTTCTCTGTTTGAACCACTATATGTATATTGACACATGGCAATTTTTTCCCCCTGTGTGACACAGAAAGAAAACTCAGATCAATTGTATCCAGAAAAGATTTGATCCTTTGAAGGCAGGGAAAAAGGAATAGGGTGAATTTTGAAAATTGAATGTATCCAAGTAGATGTGATAGTCATGTTGTGAACCGCCTTGAGAGCTTTGGAAATGAACAGTATAGGAATGTATTATTATTTTAATAATAATAATAATTGTACCACTGCAAACTAATGTACCAAAGCAGGTTTAACTTACTGAATGAGGCTTTCCTATCTTTCTTCCATATTGCAGCTTTTAGCATTTCTGGAAAAGCATCTCTCTATCTTTTTAGACACATTTCATATCTATGCATTCAAAAAGATCTATTCAAATCTTATGTAGCACAGTTTTGCTTTCTTTTTATCTTTGGCTGACATTTTGCAACTATTTTGTTTAATTTGTGTTTAAAGCTTGCCCATTGAAATCAATGCAATTTTTAAAGTATTTTACTTTCACTAGTAACAGACATCCTAGGTAATTGAGGAATAATGGTGACTGTGATAAGGAAAATAAACAGTATTGGACTTTCAAAATATTAAGGTGGAAAAAGATTTGTTGGGGCCTCTGTAACAACAGCAACAAACCTATTCACGCAGATGTATCTTCCGGAATGTTGAACCGTTATTGGATTAAACCAAAGGACATTGCCCTGAAGTGTGAGGTTGGAGTTTCCATTCTGCTTAAGCACTGTGACTTCCCCATCGCTTGACTGCCAGAACCACTGCACCCAGCTTTCCTGTAGATGGGAAGAGCTGAAAATTGAAGCAGGGTCTTCAGATGGTGGATCACAGGATACAACAAACTTCTGGCCACTGATGGCCCGGTACCTTGCATCAGTGTGCTTGTGGAGGCATCCTGAAAAGACATTGTGAAATTCAAAAAGAGAAAGAGACTCGATTGGTAAGCATGATCCATGCCTTTATTCTTCTAGGTAAAACAAGTGCTTTCAGGTGCTGGACATATAGTTAAGAAGGGAAACAGACTTTCAGCTGAACTCATCAGCCATTAAAGCTAGCTATTTCCCCCTGATATTGGGCTGTGCTCTCCTTTATAACCACCCTATGTTCTGCAGGTACATAGGAAAACAAGATGACTTTTCTCTGTGCCAGAATTATCTAGAGCAGTGAAGGCTGAGGAGTCTGGTTTGGAGGTGGAACCCTCTTGGATTTCCTCAGCCTGCTTTCTGTCTGCCCTAAGTCCCCCCCGCTCTGAGCATCCACACAAGTGCCTGGCAGGAAGCGAGACCAGCGCGGTTGGCTTGCACTCCCACTGCCCACCGCCCACTTTGGCTGCCTGTTGCAGGTGCCCCTGCAGTGCAAGCAGAGTTCTGTTTCCACACTTGTAGGCATGGCTTGCGGGCTTTGTGTACTTTCCATGAAAATTCAAGCAAACGAGAAGCCTGCGAGCATTTCCAAGCAGCCACAGTCATGCTCTTTCCTCTCTTCCAGTTCCTAGACAAGGGCCAAGTGCAGGATAGAAGTATGGGGAGTGTAAGAAAGCTGGATGCTGTGTGGATCTTTGCATCACTAATCTAGAGCTGGTGTGGTTCAGTTATTAGTGAGTTGGACTGGGATGTAGGACACCGGGGTTATACTCCTACTTGGCCATGAAACTCATCTGGTGACTTTGAGATAGTCATTGACACTCAACCTAACCTTTGTCCACAATTTGGACAAGAAACCCACAATTTGCAGTTAGGTTAAGTGAGGGTTGGTTGACTCTTGAATAACCCACGATGGCTGAGTTCACATGCCATGGCACAACCCGCAATTGGCAGTTCTGTAACTGAAATGGTGACCTCATACCTCCAGCATGCACTGTAGTTCATCATGATAACCCATGACCCTTTCAGACAAAAAGCATTCTGAGTGTGCAGCGAAACATCCTAACATGATGTCTTACCTGTGACACTAACATCCGTGGCTGCCACTCTGTTCATTAGCAACACGAAGAGCCAACAAAATGTTAGCATTGCTTCTTAACATTCTGCTTCCATCTTTGACAAACAACTTTCACAGCAAGTGCAGCTCTCTGATATTTTTCCCTGGGGATTCTTTCATGTAGCTGCAAAAAGGGAGGGAGGGAGGGAGGGAGAAGGAGGGAAAAGAGATGGCCTCTGATCTTTAAAAATAATTTGTCCCAGACAGCTTCTCAAAGGAAATTTCCCCAGGTCAGCAGCAGTATTCATATACAATGGAAAGATGCATCAACTGCAGATAATATCTACAGTTCAACTGAACTCCTGGACATCCTTGTAGGTTTCCATCTTGCTTGCTGGAACTCACCACATCTGGCACTTTGGGGACTCATCTTTGAGTTTCCTAAAGCATCGTCCCCAGGATGGCCTTTTTCTCTCTGGCAAGATCTCTTCAGGCTGAGGCTTGCTGGAAGCTTTTTTTTGTGTGTGTGTGCGGGGGCGGGGGGGGGACCTGTCTATACATGCATGGACTGGTGCCCTAAATTTGATTCTACCAGTTACATATTTTGTTCTACATTATACTATAGGACAGGACAGATGGTTAGATTGAGAGCTTAACCTGTCCCAGTTCCCCACAGTAGGGTTCTCGTCTGAATTAGGGCCCTACATGTACTCTAGATTATACAACATGCAGCTGCTAGATGCAGATTTAACACCCATTTTGGCCCTTGAACATTTTTCATTAACAGGAGGTAAGTTAAATGGATGCATCCTGGTTCCATTCCCCAATTCCATCCTGGGCAAATAATCAAAATGGCCCTCTCCATTTCACTGACTCAGACTTACAAAAGGTGTTGCATCATTACTAAAATTAGTGATCGATCCTCCTGTATTACATTAAATTGTTGCCACTGTTATTGTTATTTTATTTCTGTACTACCCAAGAGGCAACTCCAGGCAGTTTATAAGTCTTTCAACAGAAAATGCAAGCAGTCTCCTTTTCCCCATTCAAGATTACCTTCAGAAATACAACAGCATTGTTAGCAAACTCCCTCAGCTTACTCAAAAGATATGCCAGAATCACCGATCATATTATGTTAACAATCCTTCGCATCTGCACAGAACTTTAGTTATTTCTCCCCACACACACACACCCCTTGGAATAAGTCCAACTGAACTTAATGAGATCAACTCTCAAGTAGGCAGGTATATGTTTGCACTGTTCATTTCTGATAGCAACATAAATAATAATATACAATATATTCAATTACCAGTCCACTATTTCAGATTTTTCAGTGTTGGAGTAAAATAGTTAAAGGAAGAGCTTTAGAATTAGAACTTAAAATTTTCACGAAACTGCTGGATTAGAGGTTGTGAGAATAGCTTTTGTATGACGCATAAAATTGCCTAGAGATACCTGGTTTCACCACAGACTTTATAACCATAGTATTATATAACCCTGAGCTATTAGGTTACACTAATTAATAATGGAGTACTTACAACTGGAATGGTGATACTTCCTTTGCAGAAATCCTTGAAGTCACTCATGAAAAGGATGTTGAAGAGAGGGAAGAAAGACATACAAAGTACTAAAATAATTGTCAGTGACTAATAGAAAGAAAGAGAGTAAGAGAAAGAAGCAAGGAATATAAACGTCTCCGACTTAACAGTTCTACTTAAATTTCTATAATGGAGATTATTGCAAAACTTGTACCTGAAAGTAGATTATCTTGATAGAAATCTTAATGCTGTACACCACCAGATGCGATAAGAGCTGTGGTTATGTCTAAACTGGATATGCCGTGTGAGTTTCCTTTCAATCAGAGTTTCCTTTACCCGATGTCATCATTTCTTCCTCTCTTAGTACATATTTACTGCAACTTTTCTTGTAAAAAGGGAAAAGAGGGAAATGACATGGTATTTGCATAAAGATAACATCATCATTGTTATTATTTTATTTCACCAATATTTGAAGCTCTTGGGGTGCTTCGCAGCAATCATAAAATAACACACACACACACACACACACACACATTAAAGTATAATATAAAATGCAGAAACAATAAAATATAGCATTAAAATGCTGATACTACCATATATCAATACAGATTCATTATTTTTATCATTTGTTTACAGAAAAGTTCTCAAAATTACTACAAAAAAGAAATAATTGGGGACTTTGCTGCTTCCTTCCTTCTACTGCAAGTACAGTCCGTTCTTACTGCTACCCGGTACATCCTGTTCTTTCACCAGCTACCGATCCATCTGTCACGGATGTGATATGCAGGAGAGTCTGCAGAAGCTGTCTTTTCTGGAAGACACTAGAGGAAAAGCTAATTTCCAAGCATGATAGCTGGTCTGGCTCTAATCTCCTCCAGGTTTTCCCTCCACCAGGCTTCTAGTGCTGATACGAATAGGTCCAATACTCATATTTAATGTAGTGACCCAGTTTGCATGAGACAACAAACCTGATAGGCCACAGTGGGCTGTCACATTGTGTGAACGCAAATTGTGTTCCTCAAGGTGGCTTATTCATGAGCTACAAGCCATCCTGACAACCCATGGCTTGTTGTAAGGGCAGTTCCACCCATGATGGGTGGGACCATCATGTGAACTCATCTCTGCTGAGAAGTAGCAAGTGAGCCTCTTACGAAGAGTGACAAAAAGCCCTCGCCACTCTTGGCATGCTCACCCAATCTAGTGCCAGCTACCCCATGAAAGTCCAAGGAGTACTTTGGATTACTATCACTAGCTGGAATCTCCATTTTGGCAGAGAGTTTCAGCCCCTCCCCTGTGCTCAAGCAGCATATTGGACGATCCAGGGCAGACAACCTCCCCCTCCTCATTTTTGTTTGTTCTCTCTCTCTCTCTCTCTCTCTCTCTCTCTCTCTCTGTATACACAACATATGTGCACAAATATTTTTAAACTTTTAAAATTTCAAACTAATTGCACATGCACACCTGCAGTGGTGCACACTTCTGCAAGTGTGAAAATGAGAAGCAGTGTCAGCTGAGCAATGTTTTGTCCAAGTGCAGCAGGCACCAACTCTGGACTTCGACCCAGAGAGACTCCAAGTTGGGTTGGGTTGGGTTGGATTTTTCAGGACAGTTGTCAAGAAGTGAGCTTTCAAGGAAAGGCAAACCTCTGCAGGAACATTGCTTACAAAAAGTGTGGTGGCAAGATTTATACCCCCTTCATGGTAAGAACCTCCTCCTCCTCTTCAGGAAATACAAAAGTGCATCCCAGGTGCTAGCTGGGGCTTTTACAGTTTTTTATTATTATTAATTTAACAAGGACACAACAAACTGTTTTTCTGTCCAAAGAAAAAAGGGAGAGGGGCAAAAACACCCATTGCCCCATCAAAACCATACTTTTAAAGGAATTTTCTAAAAGATTGTGAAAACTAGCTGTCAAACTGGCAATCGTATTATCTGGTAAAAATGGTTAAAAGGGAGGGGAGAGGCTGTGGGAAATGGAACATGGCTTACGATCATGGTGGGAGGAGAATACAGGTTGGGAGTCCTTTACCGCTGTGGGCATCATCTCTGTCCAGGAGAGGTCCCAGCTTTCTCCAAGCCACCATGACCACTTTGCATGCTTGCAATAATGATGGATTTAGGAGTATCCCAAGACTATAACCTGGCTTTTCAAAGAGAGTGCAAACCCATTCAGAGCAGACAATCAGCCTACGTACTGGATTCAGGAGCAACTCACCCACTGCTTCTTTATTTCAAGTTTACTGACCTTTCTCTGACCTATCACAGAGTCTAGGCACAGATCCAGTACTTCTACAACCTCATCTGCTTCTGCTATCACAGAGAGATAGAGGCCCATGTCATCCTCTCCAAATCCCCTCAGAACTACTCCCAGTAGCTTCATATAGGTGTTAACACAACACTGGGAACAAGATGGTAGCCTGTTTCAGGGCCTCTTTACTAATGGCGAGAATGACTTGCCTTGAACCCCAGTGCTTGGCCCCCAGCAGTTAATTACGACAGCATGCTACTAGGTAGTGCTCTGCACTGCCAACTACAAGCCTTCTGAACATATACAGAGTATTTTATATATTCTGAGTCACATGGGCCCAGCTGTTGGGCAGTTGATGCTGAAATAAGGGGAACACAGTCGAAAATGTGAGAGGTCTGCAGAGGGGACTTAATACAATGGCAATTGATTGCAGGATATTAATGTAACAATCATGGAATTATTGTGAGTTTTGGCATGCAAATGAGAGTGATTGCAATGCTGTTAACCTGGCAGCCTGACCAGTTCTTACTAATCAGAAAAACAATAGCCCTGTCAGCTTCATGGGGAATCAATCAGGCCCCACTTCTTGAAGTAACAGCAAATGCCAAACAATAATCTGGCTTGGAATTTTTGGCTGCTTCCTGAGAAAGTGGTGCAGGCATTTTATAACACAAAGACACATAAGCATGCCTTTGCTGCCAGGATTTATCTAAATTTTCCCAACACCTGTAAAATGCCATAGCTCAATTGCCAAGGGGCCAAGGCATGGTCACCCACTGTTACCCTTTGATGTCAGATGCTGGTAAGACCAGAAGTATTGCAACACCATGCCTCTAACACCTAGTCCATGGAGCTGATGCTATCAAAAGCTGGTGAGATATCGAGCAGACTCAACAGGGTAGTATTCCTCCATCTATCTCCTGATAAAGGTAATACATCAGGGGAGTCAATGCTGATTTTGTGCCCGAACCAAATCAAAACTCCAAGTGGAGTGGGGCTTTTTGGAAGGTCTTTTTATATGGGTACCCAAAAGGCCAAATGGTTTGAATGAGGGCTTCCTCATTCAGACCATCCCAGATCAAATTAGTATTATCCTTTTCAGTGGCCACTGTAATGGTTGGCCAGTCCTCCAGTCATCCATCCATATCTGTTGATTCTACCAGAGTATCTGGGCTTGGGGGGAGCCAGGAAGTTGGGAAATGCCGTTTTACTCTTGCATGTGTCCAGAACTGGGAGAAGAGCTTGAGTCCTGTTTGTTCTTCCCCCCCATCCAGAGGACAAGTTACTCATGGAGAGAGTTGAATTCCTACCTGCTACTCCATATTACCAGACTCACAAGGCAGCACATCTGTTGAACAGTGACAAAGTGTGAGTTCCAAACCTTTCAGGCATCAAGCCAGCGATCCAGTTAGCAGGGCCCCTGCCTCTCTGAAGCCAGCATGACAAAAAGAGGAGCAGGAACAGATCTGAGGCACAGTCCACCGGCTGGGGAGGCAGTCACCGGTTATGCAAATCTCTACCATGCAGCATTTGGTTTGAAAAGATTAGCTGACAAGCCAGGAAAGATCCGCAAGATTTATGCTTATTTTTGCCATAAATAGCTCTTGCTTTTTGAGTTGGTAGTCGGGGAACTTTGAGAACTCAGTGCAAATACACTGCATTGTATTCTGCTCTGCTAGAAAAGGAACCTTATCAAGTCTGTTGAGCAATACAAGGGCGCAACCCTGAGAACGTAATTAAAACTGTGCAAAAAAAGGGCTTTCCTAGTCCAGTGTTCTAATTGCCAGATGTTGTTAGAAGACAGCTCTTGCCAGCACTCTATCTGGAGAGGGTAACTCAAGTGCTATAGCTGATTTAGCTATTCTGTTTTATTTTCTGTAAGCTGTCTAGAGATCCTGATTGAATAAAAGATGGAATGCAGCATTTTAATTAATAAATAAGTACTTCCTCATGGGATCATTCTGGTGGTGGGGAAACCACCAAGATCCTGGGAAGGTCACACTCTTCCTCTTCGCACATGTTTATTAGCCCCAGATATCGGAAGTCTCAGTCGGGCTATTACAGTGTTTTCTCCACTACTGCAATCCCAGTATACGTTGTTATTTGCATTGGGATGAAAGCTACCATTGACACCAAATTCTGTTTAATTAACAGGAAGAGCTACTGCAACACATTCCATGCCTCCAAAACTATGGCTTCCACAGGTCTCTAGTAAACTGACTTATAATAGTCCAGCCAGTCCAAAATATTCATAGAATTGTTGCTTTGTTGTTGGTGGTGCTCTGTGTTTCTAAACAACAACAACAACAACTCTTTTGCAGGCAGTTCTTGTTCATGTTGACCAACAAAGAAACTCAGGATACAATAAATTGTTTATGTATTTATTTGTTCTTGCAAGTGACTAAAACGGCAACACACTAATTTTTCATATACTATAAAATCTTCAAGAAATTGTCAGTACAAAATCATTTGATTATAAAATCAGTCCTTACACCTGAGCATGTTTCAACCATGCAATTTTCAGAACAGCTTAAATACAACAATTTCAAGTTCAGTACTTGTGAATCCCTTGCACAAGGAACAGTTAAAATCCCCCCCCCCCCAAACCTGTATAGAAGAGTCTTCCATTCTTAAGGCACCTTCTGCCCCTCAGTTGTGCAGTTGTCCTGGGCTCTACCGACATAGAAACATAGAGAGTCAGAAGGGGCCTCCTGGGCATCTAATCTGACCTCTGGCACCAGCCAGCTCCGCTCACAACATGCCCACCATGTGCACGTCCAGCCTATCCTTGAACACCCTCACCGATGGCGCCTCAACGACCTCTCGTGGAAGCCCATTCCACACCCTCGGGGTCCTAACTGTCAGGAAGTGCTTCCTGGCATCCAAATGGAACCAGGGTTCCCTGAGCTTTGCTCTGTTGAAGCGCATCCTGCCTTCCTCTGCAGGGGAGAACAGGTCTCTACCCATCTCCGTGTGACATCCCCTCACATACCTGTATGTTGCCAACATATCCCCTCTGAGTCTCCTCTTCTCCAGGCTGAAGAGACCCAGTTCCCTCAGTCTCGCCTCATACCCCATCCCCTGCAAACCGGCCACCAACCTTGTGGCCCTACGCTGCACTGACTCTAACCTGACTATATCCTTTCTGTAATGAGGGGCCCAAAACTGAGCACAATACTCCAGTTGCGGTCGCACCAGAGTCGTACAGAGTGGTAGTAATACCTCTCTTGATCTAGAAGCCACACTTCTGGCTATGCAACCAAGGGTGGTGTTCGCCCTCTTGACCACTGCATCACACTGCTGAATCATGTTTAGCCTGCAGTCAACCAGCACCCCGAGGTCCCTTTCACAAGTGCTGCTCTCCAGCCACTTGTCCCCTAACCTGTACTTATGACACCTATTCCTATGCCCCAAGTGCAAGACCTTGCACTTATCCACATTGAACACCATCCTGTTGCCTCCTGCCCACATCCATAGTCTGTCCAGATCCTTTTGGATCTGGAGTACCTGCTCCTCAGTTGTGGCCACTGCTCCAGTTTTAGTATTGTCTGCGAATTTGATCAGCAGACTGTTCACCCCTTCTTCCATGTCATTAATGAAAAGATTAATCAGGATCAGCCTCAGGACAGAACCCTGGGGGACCCCGCTTGTCACTGGCCACCATCCTGATGATTCCCCACTAATGGTTACCCTCTGCTTTCAGTCAGTCAACCATGCCCTAATCCACCGGACAGTGCTTTGGTGTATCCCAAAACTCCTCAGTTTCTCCACCAGGATATCATGGGGCACTTTGGCAAAGGCCTTGCTGAAATCCAGGTATACCACATCCACTGCATCCCCTCGATCTAGCCATCTTTAAATCTTGTCATAGAATTCCGCAAGGTTTGTCTGGCAGGACCTGTTTTTGCAGAAGCCACGTTGTGTGGCTGTCAGCCTCCCTCCCCTATCTAGCATCACTACATCTCTCTCTATTATGAGCCTTTCCATTGTTTTTCCTACAATGGACGTAAGGCTAACTGGTCTGTAATTCCCCATGTCCCTTCTACTACCCTTTTTGAAAATTGGGACCACTGATGCCACCCTCCAGTCCTCTGGAACTTCACCCATTCTCCACGAGGCCTAAAAAATGGAGGACAGTGGGTGTGAGAGAACCTCTGCCAACTCTCTAAGTACTCTCGGGTGTAACCCATCAGGGCCTGACGTCTTTGTAATGTCCAATGCCCTGAGGAGCCCCTCAACTTCAAGGGTGATGACTAATCTGTGCCTCTAAGTCCCCAGCCTCATCTAATCTCCTTTGCGGATACCCCCTGTCCTGCTTTGGGGAGAACAGAGGCAAAATAGTCATTTAGCATCTGTGCCTGTTCCCTCATATCCGTCACTGGATCTCCTTCCTCCGTATTTAGTGGTCCCACCACTTGTCTCCCCTTCCTCTTCCTATTTACATGCTGAAAGAAGCCCTTTTTGTTGCTCTTGATATTCTTGGCAAGCCTCAGCTCGTAATCAGCTTTAGCCTTGCGAAGAATCCTTCTGCAACGGGCCTCCTCCTCCCGGTATACCCTTTGGTCTATTTGCCCCAGAACCCATTTCCTATGGAGGTTCCTCTTTCGTCTGATCCCACTAACCACCTCCTTTTGCATCCATGGCGGTGCTCTCTTCCACCTCCCCACCTTACATAACTAGATAACTAGATAAGCCTTGATGATACCAGTAACTAGGTGTATCGTCAAGGCTTGCGCCTCCAAAACCTCCCTACCTGGTGATGCTTTTCTAGTTACAGGACTTTCTGTTCTGCAGGAAGCATTTTGACCAATTTCCCCAGCACTTGCAGGAGCATGAAAACCTGTGCACAGAAATCCTCCATGTGCTGGGAAAAGAGAGGAGGAAAACAGGAAAAAATCACAACCCCCTTCCATTACAAGAGGATTCCCCTGGCTCAGAGAACTTCTGGGAAGACGATTCCTTCCATTTAGTAATGGCCGCAATACATGGAACCCCTCACGATGGCAGCTGCCCGTTACAGCCTAGAACATCTGCAGTGCACTCAGGACTTGTCTTGCCACTGGTGGAATGAGCCGGTGATCTCAGGTGGAAGGTGCTAGGAGATGGCAACAAGGTATTAGAGAGGAGAGCCTCCCTGCTTCCAGTGGAGAGTCATGCATAAGCTTCAGGAAAGGCAGACCAAATATCCATCTGCAGGAGGCATCTAGATACCATTTGTTTGAATACAGAACAAATTGTTAGTTCACAATTCACTGTGTTATAAGAAGTGGGTGTTCATTTTCCAATCATGTAATGCCAAGGTACTCTTGATTAATGTGCAAGGTACTCTATGATCACACAAAAGCAATGCTCTAGGCAACAGCAGACATGTTTGCCACTGAGATTGTGGCTGATAAGTGGAAAGGCTACTTCCTGTGCAATGCATATCACAAGACCCTCTATGACAAAAAGTATCAAGTATTTGCCCACACACTGTTCTTGCAGCTTTAACGGACATAATGTGAATGGTAACAGAACAATTTCTTATGTGCAAGAATGTCCCACTACCACCTATGGTCAGTTAGCAAAAACAAATACATCAAGGGATTCTTGACAATTTATGTTCATTACTAATGGATTGCTAATCCATTCTCATTATTACAGTGGTCCATCGTAATCCATGAGCATAGGTAACAATCCAAGCACCCATTTCTTCCAGAGGTTTTGCTCCTATTATGAGGCAGTTGTTTTCAAAAAGTTGCTGTCATACTGCAGTGCAGATTTTCCACAGATACGCTTTAAATGGAAGAGAGCAGCAATTCCAATGTGTCTTGGCATCCTTAGTACAACTAACATGAAAGATGGATGGAATGCATCACTAAGGAGATCGTGTCTTTGCTGAGACCTCTGGCAGCCATGCTTGCAAGTGCTGTGCATACAACCTTTGCAATAGTCTGAAGTGGCAATGACAAAAGGGCAGCCGCTTCCCTAAATAAAACCTGTGGAGGCTTAGTGAGGACAGCTGGGATGCGATACAGACTGCGCCACATGCTGATCTTCTATCCTGGGACATTGCTCTTGAAAAGTAGCTGTTACGTTCGTCGATGAGGGCTTAGCCGGCATGGCATAGCGGAGCTTCTTCCAAAAACTGGAATTTAAAGGGAGTGACTTCTTTTCTTTCCATTTCACCATTTGGCTGGATGAAAGAAGTTTCAGAGACTTGGGCAAAAAATCCAAATCATTGGCAGGCATGTATTCTATCAAGATTACGTTAATTTTTTTTTCAACTAAGGCCTTATGCAGCCCAGTTTCCAGTTCAAACATGACACTGTCAGAGACGTAGTTCTTGGTCAGGATAATGATTAATCTTCGACTTTTCTCAATAAATGAATGTACATCATCAACAACAGCTGGCAAAAGAAGAGGTATTAAAGTTAGCCAAAATAATGGGAAAACAGCAAATAGTACTAATAACTCTTCCATTATTAATGCTTTACTCTGTATTACAACCCCACGTAACCTACAGGGGCCATGTTAACTCCTTTTGTCCCTCCAACTACCCCTCCTTGGCTTCAGACTTTGACAACAGCAAAACTTTGTGCTGGTTATGGACACCTGCCATCTAGTGACTGATGATGACAATGTGGGCTTCAAACGGTCATATTTTCATAAGTTAAGGTACCATCCTATGGATGTTTAGACAGAAAAAAGTCCTACAACTCCAGCATTTCCCAACCAGCCATAAAGTTAAAAGCAAAATAACCCTGCGGTCTGCACTCGCCCCTCCCCGCTGAACAAGCACAGCTTTCTTCCTGCCCACACACTCAGCATTCAGGAGCAGATCAGATCCAAGCGCACGTCCTGGCTGGATTTTCAGTGGAAGAGAGAAGCCCAAAAACCTTCTTTCCACAATACATACTGCAGGTTGTCTTCCCTATCCACCCTTCACTCATTCTATTTCCTTCCTCCCCGATTTTATACAACCTTCTCACACAAGAAGAAATATGTTTCAATCATTCTTGAGGTTGTACTACTAAATTAAGAAAGAGAGAAATCCATTTATCTCACCCAAATGCATTCTCCTTTTTCCATCCATCCTTTCCCTACAGTCAAGTATCATAACTGTCTATAAAGAACAGTCGAACCTTCTCTTCATTGACACCAAAGCATTGCACTGCCTTTGCAGGGAAGGTCACTTCCCTGTTTGTGTGTGTGTGTTGCTTTTGGGACTCCTAGCTAAGTTTGCCTGCTTTTAGGTTGCCTTTATCTCCTATTTTTCTTGTTTCTTTTGAATCCGATTTCTGTCCTTACCGTTTTTAAGCAATGCTTTCATCTGATCTCATACCTTTTCAAATATGCTTTTAGCTGCCTTGAAGACATTTAGTCAAAAGTCAAGCTGCAAATATGCAAATTAATTAATAAAATTTATTTATTAAAGCAACCTAAGTAGTCATAATTTCATTAGGATGTTGAGAAGCATAGGAGGTCCAGCAGCAGTCACATGTGGTAAAATGGAAGTCTCTGAGCAGTTCAGAGATGGAGTAATTTGAGGGAAGCAGGGCAAGCAAGCAAACCATGTGTACGATCTTATCAGCAATTTTATCAGAAGACATATTGTGCTTCCTTTAAAACAACGTGACTGTTTAACCAAGATACAGAACAGCCACCTACTTCACTCACATATTGTTTGAGAGTGTAACAGTCGATCAGCGCTTCCAAAGCAAGCATCCCCCTCATTATTTTTAAGGCAACAAAACCAAGGCTTTGTAAATGACAGATGAGAAATAAAAGGTGGTCCTATAACCACTTCCTACATATTTTAAAACGATTTTATACAATTCAAAAAGAGGCAACGGCATATTGGATTTTTTTAAAGGATTGTTCCTATAAAATCTGCATGGAAGGGAGGCAAAATAGGCTTTCCAGTGAATACACACATAAAAGGAACATGTCGGTGGTTTTAGCCATTTCCATGACAGTAGAAACATCAGAAAAGCCACGCTGGATCAGACCAAGGGTCCATCCAGGCCAGCACTCTGTTCACATGGTGGCAATCCAGCTGCCCACAGGTCCTGTCAAGCAGAATGAGTACAAGACGTGCACAGGCCCAAAATGTTCAGCAAAATGGTGTGCGCAGGCACACTGCTTCTGATAACAGAGGTATTCCATAGCCAGAAAGGCTACTCACCATGGACGGCCTTCTCCCCCATGATTTTGTGCAATTCCCTTTTAAAGCCATGAAAACTGGTGGTCATCACCACTTCCTCTGGCAGTGAATTTCATAGTTCCACCATGCACGGTTCTTCACGAGGGCCAGATTTTTTATTTCATACGCTCCTCCAACATTTGAGTATGTTTTAATGAACTGAAAAGGCCTTAGAATAGGACAGCAGAAAGAAGTGCTTGGCTCCTCCAAAATCATAGGCTTCAACTCTATTCCCACTTACCGAGGAGTGAGTCCCAGTGAACCTAATAGGACACTCGACTTACTTCTGAATCAACCTGCATAAGATTGCACTGCTAACGTAGCTGGCAGATTGAACATCTGTAGCATTAAATGCATCCATTGTGGGGATGCCTGGTTTCTTTAAACAAATTAAAACTAATCAGAGGGACCCCCAGTCCAGATTGCAGCCTCAGGGTGTGGTGAGTGGTTTCTCTCTCCAGCCATAATCCTGGGGGCAGGGGACGGAGACACAGACTCCACATATAAACCAACTAATGGGAGACCTTTTGCAGAACTGAAGGGTCCTCAATACCACCAAGACTGCAGTGATAGAAGGAGGGGTTCGAACTCTCCTCTCAATAGGCCCTGATGGACACCGAAGGCTCTTCCTGAGCTTGGCTTTAGGTAAACCATCCCATTTATTATTACATGGGGTGAGGCCTTGATGGGCTCCTATTTGTTACAGTGGACCACAGCTTGGTGGCAGAGAAAGGGCCTTGCATGCATAAGGCCCCAGTTTTATCGGCAACATCTTCACATAGGACTTGGAAGGAATCTGCCTGACAGCTGCCACAGCTGACAAATGCTGGGTTAGATAGCTCAAGTGTTCAACTTCAGTATGCTCCTAATACTGAGTTAAATACATCAGTAATCAAGCTTAGTATAATGCAGTTCTATATGTCCAAAATTCTCAGTGTCAGGAAAGAATGGAGCTGTTGGTTATTTCTTCTGCCTCAGATCCATAGAAGCAAGGCTGCACAGCACACTAAAAATCAGTCATTTGGTTTTTTCATTGGATTTGAATCCTATGCTCAATCTGGTCTTTTTATTCACAAAGAGTTTTATTCCTTGGTTTCTAACAACACAAGCACACCTTGGCTGGCTAAATTCAGCTTCATACCATACCAATTTTATTATGAATTGAAAAATAAAGAATCAAGTTTGGGCTACTACTAATGTTCAAGTTTTCTATTTTGACAAAACTGCACAAGCTGTACAATCAGTACTCCCCATTGTCCTACCTCCTCCAGGACAGATATCCCGTTCAAAGATACACAGCTTGTAGCCAAAATGCTCTTCTAATATTTTGGGTAGTACATCCAGGGCAAATTTTCTCTCATCTCCACATAATGGCATGGAGTCTTTCAAGTAAGATACAAACGCATCATATAATTTTCCATCTGAAAAAAATATCCAACATAATTTCTTCAATATGACAAAAAAATTAGAATGACTGATCATAATCTCTGCACCACACTTCCCCTTACTTCCTTCCCACGCGATGACTTTTGAAAAGCCGATCTTGCTTCTTTTTCCCTTGTCAGTGCCAGAAAAGGCCACTCAGGACAGTTCTCAAGCTAAGAGGATGCAGACTAATTCAGGAAAATAAATTAGAAGCGGACCCATAATTGCCTACTCTATGTCCCCAGAACAATGATACATCTCTATGTTTTCTGAGGGCAGCCCCTTGCCACTCATTCCACATAATCTAATGGTAGGAAAATGTAAGTATTCATTGGGAGTACCAAAAGAACAAGATGCAAGAGGGGGATTCATTTTTGCCCAGACAAAATAATGTTCAGCCACCAGTGCTCCCTACCCACTTATAAGCAATGCGCTCCCCAGAGAGGTCCGCCTGGCGCTGTCGTTATTTGTTTTTCAGCGCCAGGCTAAGACCTTTTTATTTCAATGATATTTTAATAACTTTTAATATCAGTTTATAGGTTTTAATATGCAGCCAGGGTGGATCTGGATTTTATCAGTATTATGTTTTATTTTATTTATGTAAGCTGTCCCGAGGTTATGCGATGGGATGGCATACAAATGCTCTAAATAAATAAATAAAAGCAGAAGCCATCCATGTTTTACCTCCCAAAGTGTCATCCTTTCCTGTTATATCTCTGTACAATAAAACAAGATCAACTCTGAACACTACACACAGAACCACCACAAATACACCAACAAAGGGGAACAGTATTGCCATGATGATTCCAGTAGTAAAAACATGGAAGGGTAGATCAGGATTAATTTCTGGAAAATAAAAAGATGACAAGTTATTGCTCAGAGAAGCAGAATCCTCCAAATAAGTACTTGCTCAATAAAAATTATTTTGTTTATGCTACTCCCCTTAAGTGTTTGGCCAGCATCTCAATCTGATTGAGATGGTTCAATCTTTTTCCTACAACCACAACTCTGTGAAGCAGGTTAGGTTGAGATTCTGTGACTGGCCCAAAGCCACCCGACTCGTTCCAAGGTCAAGCGGGTAAGAACCCAGATCACCTGAGTCCCAGCAGCTGGGACTCTTAATCACTCTTAAGTGCTCTTAACCGCTACACCATCCTGGCTCTCAGCAAATTCATCCCTTTAATTAGTTCCCTAGGATAACTTTTCCCTGAGAATGAACTGAAGGCCTGCTGAGGTAAAAATCATTTAAAATGCAATCAGAGCGAGGATCATGAGAAAATGTGCCAGGCTCAAACATGAGAGTCAGTGCACTGTAGTGGTTAAGAGCACAATCTGTGTTTCAGGCCCCACTAATGGAGCTCACTGGTTCACTTTGGGACAGTGACAGACTCTCCGCCCAACCTGCCTCACACGGTCGTTGTTGTGGGGATAAGATAACAGAAGAATGAAGTAAGTTGCTTTGAGTTCATTGGAAAAAAGTGGGATAGAAATATAATAAAGAAATACTACATACAGTCTAGCTGCACTGGTGTACATCAAAAGAAAGATTCTAGTCCTACATCAGGGAACAACCATGAATTTGGCCACCATAGGCAAGAATCCTTTTGGTATTTTTTCCCCTTCTTATACAGAAGTCCAACCTGTTTGTGCTACCTTTCCGTCAGTAACCATGCCAGCTTAACTGCAGTCTTCTCAAGCTTGGAGCTGCTGCAGCTGAAAGCCAGGTCAGTTAACGGCAAGGCAATGAGGATCTCTGACCTGGTGTAGGAGAGCCGGTGTGGTGTAGTGGTTAGTACTGGACTGGGGACTTGGGAAATGCGGGTTCGAGTTCCCACTTAGCCATGGAGCCAGCTGGGTAACTTTGGGCCAGTTACAGACTCTCAGACTAATGTACCTCACACAGGCTGTTTTAGTGAAGATAAAAATGGAGTAGAGAAAAACTATTTAAGCCACCTGGGATTCCTTGGAAGAGGAAAACAGGTGGCATAGAAATGCTCACTCATCGTCATCATAATCTCTGAAGTAAACTGAAAGAACATGCTGTTTATTAATATTTGTACACGCCTGAGATGTGCCTGCCAGACTATCACGCACAATACTAAGTATGAATCAATGGGAAGATAGATTTCCTTCATAAGGGGCTTCTCTCTTCCATAGTCTTTGGGCTATGGGGTATCACAATGATCTGCCTTGTCCCCCTGAGATTGAACATGTACCCAAAAAGGCTAGGAACTTATTCAGAGGTTTGCACTACAATGTCTGTATCATAGAAACAGCACAAAGTTCTACCTTGGTTTTCCACCTACCAGTCCCAATGAGGTTCTAGGATCCCTGAATATGTGCTTGGAGGTAATGTTGGGTTGGATGAGGACAAGCATGCCAAACCTAATCTAGACAAGACAGCAGTACATCGTTCTGGCAAATCTGCTGATTTGGAGAGCAATTCAGCTGGAATTGTGTGATCCTTGAAAGAATAAGTTCATAGCTTGAGAGTGCCTCTGAACCCATCACTGTCATGGATGCACAAGCCACAGCAGGAGCCAGGAGTGCCTTTCACCAAGTTTATCTGAGACTCACTGGAACCTCCCACAGTAACCATTCAGAAGCCAACCGATTCTTCAGCAGGTAGAAGGACAAAGAGATTAGTCTTTCAGGCCACTTTCCTGTTTCAGAAAGCAGAGCCCTCCTTGGATGAGAGTCTCTCTCCCTTCCTTTTTGAAACAAGTGCCAAGCTACTCTCAAAGCAACCCCAAGTGGTCCTGGACCACATGTATGTCACACTCAACAGTTCTGCAAATCCCAAGCAGATGCCCGCCAGAGGTAAACAACTATAACTCCCATTATTCCCAGCTAGCATGGCCACTGGGAGTTGCAGGCCAACATGTCTGGAGAGAAGCAGGTTCAGGAATGTTAGATTAAAACCACACAGTACCTTTCTCCAGTATAAATGTCTGGTTTATGTTTTTACGTCCATTAAATATGCAGCTGTATGCACTGTTAATGTTCTCCTCTTTAACACTTTTAATCCACAATTGCTTTGTTACATATTTTCCATCTTCTCTGTTACTGTTATAAAGAAAAAGACAATGAGGGGTAGGGAGTGAGGGCCTATGAGAAGTTTCCCATCTATTAAACAGATTCTTGTAAAATGCTTACTCCCAATTCCAGATCATTTATGAATTGGTTGAAAAGCATTGGTCCTAATACAAAACCTTGTGGGACCTCACTGTTCACAGCTCTCCATTGGGAGAAACTACCATTTATTTCTACTCTCTACTTTCTGTTCTTTAACCAGTTACTGATCCATAAGAGGACCACCGACCCCGCTGCTTTATTCTATGACTAGCAAGTTTGCTCAGGAACCGTTGGTGATGGACTTTGTCAAAAGTCTTTTGGAAGTTCTCATGTAAATCACGTCTACTGAATTGACCCGTCCACTTGCTTCTTGTACTCTCAAAGCACTCTAATGGGTTAGTGAGACAGAACTTACTTTTGCAGGAGTCATGTTAATTCGTTTTCAGCAGAGCTTGTCCCTCTATATTCTTACTGATTCTATCGTTAAGACTGCTTTCTACCAATTTACCCAGAACAGTCGTTAAGCTAACCTGCCTGTAATTCCTTCTAGATTCCTTTTAAAGAAAACCAGTGTCACAATGGATAGTGTGATCTACTCTGTTCGTTTTTCAGAGTACCTACTGCTGCAGTTACTGCAGTTCCCTGGCATATAAAAAAACAAACATGCAGAGAAATATATAGTGCTCTTATGGATGAAAAATATGCAGAGGGGAAATTTGCATACCTGCAGTAACTGTTCCATTACTGCATCACTCTATTTTTGGCAACATCAGATTGTAACCAACAATAGACTGACAGACAATCCATGACTGGATTCTCATGACATAACAGTCTTGGGAGAAAGCCCAAAGTATGACTAACCCTGAAGTTTTCTTTGTGAAGGATATGCAAATCACACACCCTCTTTCGACAGGCAAAGATTACTCATGGTTTTGCCTTCCCTTCACAACTATCAAGAGAAAGCAAAGGAACAACTCTTGTTTGGAGTATCATAACAGCAGGTAACTTCCAAGATATTGCCTTCAAATTTCTGCAGTTGTGTAACTGCAAACCTCCAGAGTTGTTCAAGTGCAACCAAAAAAAAAAGTGGGGAAGAAATAAGGAGAATGTGCCAATTTATGTACATTTTTTAACTGTCTGGCAGCCACTGACAACCCTTCCAAAGTGTTTGGGTAGTCTGAAGTGGCTGTCCGTGACTGCCAAGCCCACTTCTGTGAACTCAGGGGGAAAGTGGGGCATGGGAGGAAAAGTGCAGCAAGCTGAAAACTGTTTATGATCAGAAGAGAGAGGGAGGGAGGGAAATGAGTCATTCCTGCAGTGGTGTCCCCTGGAATAGCTTCAGGAAGGCTACGGTAGAAGGAGAGTGTGAGCAACTTACTGTGAACCCAATCATCTGTTTGGGTTCATCATGGATTGTTCACAGAATGACAAAGCCACCTTGGCTTACTGGCAGGGAAAGTTGGTGTGACATGCCAAAATGCCCAATGAGAAAATAACGGACATTTTCATCTCCTTTGGAATGGCTCAATTTACTTCTGAGTGAATTTGAAGAGAGCCGGAAAAGATCACACTTCATTCTGCCATGCTTCCGCAGCAAGAGTTATGCAATTTTACTGAAAGTACAGAGAACTCTCTGTTCAAAATGTATACACCTCCCACCCAGGACTAAGAGCTACAGTTCTCTAGGGGAAAAAAACCTGGTTGCTAAACCAGGTTATGTTTGTTGTACGAATTAACTTAGAGACTATATTTAATCTCACTGATTCCGATGGAAGTGCAAGAAAAATAGCACTATAACATCCCAAAATGCTAAGCATCAGACAGTTTATATATAGCAGTTTCCTACTGAATTTACTTACATTGTAGTTTCATTCTTTTCACACTGTGTGTCACTTGCACTGGAGTCCTGGCAGTTGTTGATATGTGTCTCATTGTACAACCAATAAATTAAGAAGTGGTTTTCAAATGAATTGTTAGGGAAAAAAGCTGTACAGTTGAGCGTCTCATTTTTACCTAAGCAGAGAAAGTTTTAGATTGAACAACTTGGCTGTTTAATGAAACATTCCCTAAAAGAAAAAAACATTATTACTTTAGGCCCATTTACCACCCTCACCTAGAAGACTGCTTCCTTTAACTCTTTCAGTATTCTAGGATGGGCAGTTATCCTCTTTTATAAAGCAAAGTTCTTTGTTTGAAATGCTGCTAGATCACTATTTTCTGTTTTAAAACTCATGAAATAGGAATGCCAAAAGAATTCTGTAAAGGATTCAAATGTGTTTCTGTTTCTATGGATCCATCCTGTAAATTCCACAAGAAACCAGCTTTTTCTGAACTGCATGGAGGTGCATGGACTTATTTATTTATTTATTTAGAGCATTTTTATGCCGCCCCTTTGCAAAAAGCCTCGGGGCGGCTTACAAAGCAAATAAACAAATGTAGAATAGATCTTAAAAATCCGGATACATCTCGGCAGAACTATAAAAACCAATAAATAAAGACAGCAATTAACAGTTAAAATACCGCGTCTTGGCCTGGCACTGAAAAGCAAATAATGACGGTGCCAGGCGGACCTCTCTGGGGAGCGCATTCTATAGGTGGGGCGCCACCACAGAGAAGGCCCTCCTCCGGGTACCCACCCTCCTAATATCTTTCACAGAGGGCTCTCGAAGAAGGGCCTCTGCCGCCGATCTCAGGGGGTGAGGGCATATATGGATGCAAGCGTTCCTTTAGATAACCAGTTCCCAAGCCGTTAAGGGCTTTATAGGTGATAACCAACACCTTGAATTGGGCCCAGACTTCAATGGAAAGCCAGTGAAGCTGATGGAGGACTGGGGTTACATGAGAACAATGCCCAGTCCCCGTCAGCAGCCTGGCAGCTCTGTTTTGCACCCAGACCATCTTCAAGAGCAGCCCCACGTAGCGCGCATTACAGAAGTCTAATTGGGAAGTTACCAATGCATGTGTCACTGTCACCAGGCAATCGTCCTCCAGGTAGGGATGCAGCTGATGGATCAGCCGAAGCTGAAGGAAAGCGCTCCTTGCCACCGCTGTTACTTGAGCTTCTAATGACAGCTCTGGGTCGAGGAGCACTCCCAAGGTGTGAACCCTGTCCCTAAGAGGGAGTGCAACCCCATTCAGGACTTACTGATTTTATTAGTTTTATTAGTTTTGGGAGGATATGCAAATCTTGTTTGCACAGAGCTGCATATTATCACAAATGCACATCTGCAAACAGGAATATACTCCAATTATTTCAATAGACAGAAGTTGCACATAGACTGAATTGAATCCGGGAAACACAGATGGCACAGATTTAATATACTTTAATAAACATGGATACCTAAACTGAAGGACTCTCCAGTCCAAGTCCATTTCAAAGATAAAGAGCCATCAGAAAAGAGGGGAAGGGGGCTTTGAAATAAATACCTATCAAACCTGTCAATACCTGTTGCTCTGGAAAAGCAGGCAGAGCAAAGCACACAGGTAATCAACACATAGTAGGCATGCCATGAGTGGCGCTGGCTGGAGCCAGGGATCAGACTAGATGGCCTGGGAGGCCCCTTCTGACTCACTATGCTTCTACGTAACCTGGTGAGATGTACTCTGTTTCTATTTCCATTATTATAATTATTTTAATTGGCAACTGCACACAGCATATTTTTGTTTTTATTTTTGACGATGCAGGTTTTCTTTTTTGGGGAATTCACAAATGCCTACCAAACTACTGATGCTGAAACCCACTAGGAATAGCTTCAACACTAACCCACAAAGCTCATGTGAACCAGTGTAGACCTACCATTTGGGAAGTGATGAATTAGAACACAACAGAAAACATATGCAAGCAGTTGGAAGTGTGAAAGGGGATTAGTTTTTCTGAAAGTTTGGAATGTATTTCCATCACGGTGCTAGTGTGATAGGTTACTTTGCAGTTGGGAAGGTCATATGATCTGGCAGCATAAGCCTATTGCAGCTGCCACTACTGCTCATCTTATTACTGGACTCTTTATCATACTGTCTCAATGAATAGAAGAAATGCCCTCATTGCAACAGCCTTGGAAATCTCATGTTTGAGAGGTACAGAGACTGTGATGGCTCACATAATTAAACTGAAACAATTGAATGTTTTAAAAAGCCCTGACCTTTGTTACATTGCTTCCAATCCTCAAGATATTTTAGGCCGTATACTGCATTATCGTTTTTTGTATTGTTAAGGTGCTGGGTCATGTTAGGCAGATTCCAGAAAGCACTGTTCAAGAGCAATGCAACTGTGGCTTGCCATTCCTGTAAATGAATGCTGTTACACACCTCAGTATGAAGTCTCCTGAGGACGACTGAAAGACAGCAGAAGCTCAAGCACCCAAAGCTCTATTCAGACGTTCAGTTCACTGAAAGCTGAATGCACAGGATGGTCCAAGGAGCTCTATTCCACAATCACGCACATCAAATACCCTCCATGCACAGTGAGAACGTCTGCAGGGAGAGGAGCTTTGCAAGCACAAAGGTATGTGCGAATCCTGCCCCTTCGTAAGTGTTTACGAGGTACACAGAGGCAGTGGGGAAGGGTATCTGACATGCGTACTGGTGCAGTCCTGCTCGCATGCTCTGCTTATCAGTAAGTATACACCTAAATAGGGTTTTCATTCAGAAATATCCCCAGTCTAGCCTCAGGAATAAACTAGGATGTCTATCTCACCTACCCACACCGGCGCAAATGTGAAAATGCCTGCTGCTGTACAGATGGCATATCCAGCTATATGAGCAGACAATCTTGCAAAACTTCATCATATTCTCAGAAATACAGACACATACCCACAGTTGTTTTTAAAGTACGGAGCTCACGTCCAATTAGTCTTGCTCCTATGCTGTCGTGACGATCTTGAGAAGAGAAAAAAATACATGAAACTTCACTCCATCCTAACAATAAACGTTAATCTCTGAGCTAGGTACAAACAATTCATTTATCATCATCTCCATCACCACCACTACTGAAAGCTTACAATGGCTAAGAGTAGTTGGACTACTTAACTAATTTGGAACCAAGAAAACTCCATATTATACTGTCCTCTAGTGCTGGACATACTCATAGCTTTTTGGAATTCCCAGAAGAAAGATACAGCTGTATCATCTTCCCTCTAGGCTATCTGCACAGATTTTTCCCTAGTTTACACATTTTTAGCATAGCAGAGGAATTTAATTACATTTTCTTGTAGCCTTTTGCCTTTTGCACTCAGCAGATTATATTGCGTTTAGCATAGCAGAGGAGAGCAGAGTGTAAAAAGGATAGATAACAGTATTAATGGCCCTGCCAAAGCCCCATAACAGCTTTGCCAAATCTTACCCTTCAGTTTTAACTCTATTGTGCGCGTGCTGTTGTATATCTTTCCTACATGAATGAATGATTTCACACATGTGTATTTTCCAGCATCTTCAAGTTTTAACTGAGGGATATACAAATCATCATCCATTTCATTCTGGATCATGATGCAGTCCTGTTTCAATAAAGTAGTTTCCAAGGGATGTTACGACAAGTATAAAATGTCCAAATTCAAAACAGGAACAACGCACAGTTAGCTGATACAGTCACAGTGACTTGTTCTGGGCTGCACTGAACGCTGGACATGGTATGCATAATCATATACAAATCATGATCATGCACAGTCTTGGCTTATTGTGTCAGCCAAGCCTGGATGGGGTAACTTGTTGAAGGGTTAAACAACCTTCAAATAATGTGAAGGCTGTTTAACACTCCAACAAGCCACACCAACTGGGTTCAGATGACACGATGAGTCACAGCTGGGTGGCGGTTATACAAATCATGCCCACCTCATACCACAGTACACAACCACACCCACTATGACTTGCTGTGATTGTGCAAACCAGGTCAATATCATGGGCCAACAACCTTTTATATTTGACAGACGGGCTTCCAAACTGTTTTAACTTATTCCAAACTATTTGTGTCAATTGTTTTTTGTGCCCTATTTATGGATTGTAACCAGGAGAGTGGGTCAAGATTCTCCTAAGGCTGAATCAACTGGAAACTTTCAGCATAATTTAAGTGCTTATAGATGCAGCCCTACACTACTTATCCGGAAGAAAGTCTCATTCAGTAGAGTGGAACCTCTCAGTAAACTCCAGCATTTGATTGTGCTATTAATTGCCAGAATGTTGCTTAAGCTATTTCCACTAATATCATTAAGGATATGATAAGGATCTTGAAAAATGAAAAAGCATGATGGTATGAGCACAGCTTAAAATCTGCTTCTTATTATTCAGTGAAATGAAAGGAGTATTGCAAACTAATTCTCATACAATGTTTCTGGAAAATTTTAAGCAGCTTTAAGAAACTAGCAAGGGCTGGAGGGAGCAAGGAAACAAAAAGCTGCAGAAACATGGGAAAGATCAATGATCTCACCACATAACCCCACTGAATGGATAAGGAAGGCATATTCCATGGAAATTATGCGACAGGAGCCTCTTCCTCACACTTCCAGGAAGAAAGAGGGCAGCACCTGGTCATCACTCACTCCTGAAACAATCATACACCTGTATGCTTCCCTGAAGCTTGCTCATCTTAAAAGCGAAGATTAAGACAGATGTTGCACGTCCAGCAAAGGTGCTACTTGAGGGTATCTCAATACATTGGTATCACAAACTCTGCAAATTAGCTCTGTGAGTTTGCCAAAGGTGATGGCCTAACAGCCATGCTATCACCAAGAAAGTGCTGGTAGTGACCAATAATACCCTAAAAGCTGCCTGGTCCTGTATGAAGCTGCCTGGCCTTTAATGTCTGCCCTGGAAATGTTGCTATATGCAACATTCATAAAAACACCACCACAAAACATGGGGCATTCTTAGTAACGTTGCCCCTATTGTATAACTCTCTCTCTTTAGATTCTCGAAGCTCATTCTTTTTCTATCTTTAGAAATATAGCCTTTAATGCTGTGATATGCCTTTTCTTTTCATCTGCTGGAAGGTAAAATAAATTAATAGACTACTTAGTCCTATCACATGGTAGGAACAATTATACCATCATGTGACCGCAAACAATTTACAAGTCTTTGATCTCATTGCACAAGATAGCTAGCTACTAGTTATCTTACTTTTGACAAAGATTATAATCCACTTTTTTCCAGATTCTCCATTAACCAATCAAGAACACATTGTTCTTATAAATACCTTGTACCATGTTATGTTGACATGTTCACTCTGATGCATATTATTACATGAAAATGTATATGATTTTCCAGTTTCTCCATGTATTCCATTTTCTATATGATTTTTAGTGAAACAACTTGTTTTATTTCTCCGGAGGACTCTCAAGGCCCATTCGTACCGCCTGACGTTGTGCGTCCCATTACTGGGAGTAGCAGGAGAGAAAGTGTTAGCATATCCTTCTAGAACACTGAAGCTATTTCACGACAACAAACGTATTTACATCTTTCATATACATACTACTCAATTTTAAAACTGATTTGCTAGGCTTCCTAAACAAATTAGGAAATTCAGGCACTCATCAGCAAAAAACTAGGTCTAAATCATAATGAACCAAGGCAAATCAAAATTATTCACAGATTAATCAACTGGCCTCATGAGCTGTTAACAATTTAAGGTTGTAAGGAACTGCCTTGTACCGATGTCCTATATTGCTCACTACTATCTATTCTGATTCACCACAGTAAACACTATTTGCATGGCGCAGGTTACATGCCATGCAAATGACTTATCTCACTATGATTTGCCCAGTCACATGGTATACATAAGCTCCACAATCACACAAGCTGGGCTAATCAGAGGCTGATTGTGCAAAGCAGCTGTGCAACACAACCCAGCAAATTATGGGCTAGTTAACCCATGATTGTCCACTATTACACACAGGTCTCTTTAGCTCCTTTGCAAGTCTTTCCCAACCCAGCCACATGAAGGTCAATCTCTACAAACTTTGATCCATGATCAAATTTAGAGGACTGCTGCTCTTGAGGGTTGAACAGCTGTATGCTATTTTTATTTATTATATTTATATCCTGCCTTTCTTCCATCAGAGTGGCTTACATAATCTTCCTTTTCCTCTCCTCAACAACCCTGTGAGGTAGGTCACTGTACAAGTAGGGACTAGAACCTAGATCTCCCAGATCCCAGTTTAACACTCTAATGAAAATGTAAAGTACTATAAACATAACTATGAAAAAAGAGAGGCAAATACATGTTCATTTTTTCTTGGCTGTGATGTTAATAGACCCTTTTCAAGATGGCCTTGGACAATGGAGTTCTGTAAGGCATTTGGGAGGCATAGACAACCTAGTGTCTTCCAGATGTTTCGGTCTCCCATAATCCCCAGGCAGTAGGGGTTCTGTGAGTTGGAGTCCAAAGTATCTGAAAGGCCACAAGGTTTCTGGCTTTGAGTTAAACAATTGGAGTGAGTAAATATGTAGGATAGTTGAAGCTAGTGTGAAGTAAGAAGAGAGGTGAAGTTCTTATCTATCCTGATTTGAGTATTTACTTGACTTTGTGAGAATGATAAAAATGATTCTGGTATTAGACGAAAAAGACATATTGTTACATATCCAGTATGGCTGGAATAAAGTCATTTCTTGCTGACTTCACAGTGGCAAGGACGTTACCTTGGTATATTGGAGGGTACAGGCTAACAGAATACAGTTCTAGAAATACCAGCAACAACAAACTTCCTGCTCCCACAGAGTGAAATCTCATCAGGGCAGTTCTGATTCATTCCAACTAGTCCCAGAATAACACCTAGATGGAAGCTGCCTTCATCGACTACAACATTAAGCCAAAACTTGGGATACAGTCACCTCAAGGAAGAGATGAGAAGTACAGTGTGGGTTCTCTACTACCTAGCCAGTATGGGCACTGCCGCACACACCTCGGTTCTTCAGTATCATCTGTTTGACCACTGTTGGTTGCACAAGTACTACAGCAGGACACTTGTGCTAGATCCAGGAAACTTACTGGTGCAGCTTGCTGGTTTTCCTACTTGGACTGGAAATTAACCTGCTGAAATGCCCAGACCAGGCTCAACAAAGAACGACTGCAATGTTGTCTCACCTCTGCATTGTGCAACACCTTTGCTAATGCATAGGCACTGACTGTTGAAACTTCGTCATCCTCTTCTGAATACAGGGACATATTGCTTCAAGGGCTTGGCAAATCAGAAAAGCAAAACAAGCAAACCACAATGTCTGAAGCAAGTATGCCAGTTGCACTTCTACAAAACAGGGCAGGAAATGAAAGAGCTCAAAAGACCCAGATCGCTTGAATGTGAACCTAGTCATCTACAGCTTTGAAAACCATGTCATGCAATGAGATTTAGGAAGGTTTCAGAAAGGTAAAATTGATAAAATTGCAAGGACTGATCTTTAAAATAGGTAAAATCCAGATGGATCACTGCTTAAGAAATGGGAAGCTTTTAAGATCTCACATGGGTTCTGAGTGCTTGAAATCCAATCTGATCTTTGGGGCAAGACAACCAAATGAAGTTTTATGCCACTGCCATGACTCATTGACAGGAGGTTTAGTCACTGACCTCCATTTGTAACCTTCCCATCTTTTCCCATCACTTCTTGTCTTTTTACTCACCCCCCCACCCAAAAAAAGTTCAGGAGGGACAGAAATGGGCTATTACACAAAACTGCATATGCCCCACATTGTTCTTTAACTCATTTTTAAGACAAAATGTTTGCTACAGGGTCACAGGCTCAATTTTTTAAAAAATGTTAAGAATAGACTTGGCTAGGCTGTACTGTATTAAAGTCAAAGTCCACTTTAAACCAGTGACAGCTTTTTTAAAGGCATGCTACCACTGACATTCTTTTAAAAGAATTGATTTGTTTTAAAGCCCTTTCTTTAAAAAGTCATCATCAGAATTTATTGGTCGGCAGCAACAGTAAAATAGTAATATTGGCCTTCCTTACAGTATTAAGGATTGCTGAGATCCTAGATGGGACCCAACTGAGACTGTCTACCATTGGAATTAACGCACCTGGCAAAACTGGATGCTTTCTCCTGCAGCCCCCTGTGCCCCGAAATCTGTACCACAGCGGGTGGGGGGGCATAGGACAGATTTGCAGGGTACAGAAGGGCAGAGGAAGGAGAATACTGTTGGAACCCAATTTTGTCATATGAGATGTCACGCAAAGTTTCCAAAGTATTTTGAACTCTCAAAATTCTCAAATGAGTTCATTCTTATGCCTGGAAAACCTGACAGGCTAGGAACATTGTTAATAACTAAATAATAATGTGCTAAGCCAGAGATAGCCAGTGTGGTGTAGTGGTTAAGAGCATGGGACTGGGACTCAGACGACCTGGGTTCTAGTCCCCGCTCAGCCATGGAGCCAAGTGGGTGACTTTGGGCCAGTCAAAGACTCTCAGCCCAACCTACCTCACAGGGTTGTTGTTGTGGGGATAAGATGGAGGAGGAGAATGATGTAAGCTGCCTTGAGCCTTTGTAGGAAAAAGGCAGGATATAAATTGAAAAATAAATAAATAAAATAAAAATAGCTAAGAGAAACCTCTCTGTTTTCCAGACAATGGTCCAAGAATTGGATCAGTACAAAAATACTAAAGGCAAGATCCCAAGAAATGCATGTTTTGAATACAAAATGATTCTCACATGTTGATCTCCTGAAATCTACCTTTCCTTATATGTGAAATTGTGGGCTATAATATTAGCCTAGCCTTTATTAACATGTTGATAAAGCTTCTAGGGATTGGGCTAGAATTGAACTAAGAAAATATAACCTGTTTGTATCAATCCACAAACAGAGAACCATTTGCTACTGCAGATATCAATAAAGACTGCTATACTTTTTATATAAAATGTGACTGACAAATAATACAAGTGAGGAAACATCCCAATATTTTCTGAAAAAAAATGCTGTATATATGCATCTTGGAATATACTCTACCTGAGAGAGCAACTATATTTTCCAGTGTCATTCAGCACAGCAGGCCAAAATTGCAAATAGGTCCCATTCAAATCAATTCTGCTGTCTTCTTCAATTGGCACCAGCTTTCCTTCTTTTTCTCTAAACCAGTGAGCAGTATATCCATCTTCTTTTGTGGTAGAACAGCAAACTGAAAAATATTCTTCTTCCAGTAGGTTAATCTTTGAGCGCTTCTGGCAAGACTTACCTTCAGAAAATGAAATATATGTTTGTGAGTGTGTGCACACACATGCACAGACATACAATTATGGCCTTTATAACAAACAGGAAAGTAATGCACTTTTTCCTTAAAGCTATGCTAGCACTAACTCCATATAACCTCATGTATGACAGTCTTTCCACTTTCGTTTGTTTCATTGTGAAAATGGCAAAGATGTGCATGCTCGAGTGAGGAAACAAGGAATACTTCTTTTAAAGAAACTGTCAAAAATATTCATAAGATGTACTGCAGAGACTTGCTATTATCCAGCTGTTCTTCCACTCCTAAGGAATTTCTTCAATTTTTTCATGACTCTTCAATAGAGGACACATTAAAAATGTTTCTTAAATTGTTATTAATTAAAGGGAGCTGGTATATATGCCATAACTTGTAATATCACAGGAACTAGCCACGCTACTGCAATTTTAGCCCAGTGTGATAGGTCCCTCTCAAGCATGCAGACAGAGTATTTCAATAATAATAAAATACTGTGTTTTGCACATAGGAAAAATGCAATTTGTCAATAAAAGAAGCAATTCCATGAAGGCAGGCATCTCAAACATGCAAAATAATTGAGCAACAGTTTTTCATATATTGTTAAGTAATTCTGATTTTCTAGAAAAAGCCTTGCTAAGTTTGTAATTAGATGCCCAAGCCAGTGATCTATTATACTATGCATTTGGCCTGTCACACTTTGTGTCAGGACTGAGTCTCAGTGTTGTTGAGCTCATATTAATTGGGATTTAATCATATTTTATGTCTAGGAAGCCTATGGAATATCAAAGGGAACTCTGTCACTGTTCTCCGTGCATACTGGGCATTCACCCTAGTCCAGATGAAGTAGACCTAAGAGTTCAAAGCTCCTCCGGAATCTTAGAAGTGGGATGGGGATGGCTGAAGCCTCACCCCTGGTGGGTAGAAAGGAAACATCTGGATTGGATAGCGGTGTCATGATGGGCTAAATTCTCTGCCAGTCATTATGTGGTTGAAAGTTGGACCTTGAAGGAGGTTAGGAGAGAGAACACCTGGAGGAGGACTTTCTCTGTGGTGGTGCCCCAGCTATGGGATGCGCTCTCCAGAGAGGTCCACCTGGCACTGACGTTATATGCTTTTCAGCGCCAGGTCAAGACCTTTTTATTTACCCAGTATTTTAAAGTTTAAATATTTTAATTATGTTTTTATCACAGTCATGGGTTGTTGTTGCTGTTGTTACTATTATTGGTGGTGAGGATGATGATGATGATTTTATTATGTTGTATTTATGTTGTTATATTGTCCTTATTGTATGACTATTGTAAGCCATCCAGAGATGTGCAGTAATTGGACAAGTTAGAAATACCCAAATAAATAAATAAGTGTGGTAGGAAGGTTATCATGGACACACCTTAGCTTTAAAGTGAATGGCCAGTCTTGGAAACATCACTTGGAACATTCATTCACTGCCCAACACCTGAGCCTACAGAAGCACTCTACATATAAATACCACCCGTGAGGACTTTTTGCTTCTCTGGGCTTTGTGAAGAACCTACTATGAAAAGACCACCATGTTTTTCACAGCCTGGGCTAATTGGCTGGCTGTAAGTCACGTGTGTTTAGTGAAGCAATTCCCAAAGCCTGGATGGGTTCTGTGGAAACCTGTGTCTGACTCTTGAATTGTCAGTTGCCTGGACACAGGCAACATCGAAACCAAAAACTGGAGGCTTTAGAAATTCAGCTGAACTTGTTCTGAACTCTTGGTCTAGTAGGCTGAAACCGACATAACACTGAAAGATTCCAACACAGTTGGCAAAGTTGCTATCATCCCCTGTGTGGGTGTGAAGGTTGGTTCAAGTCTTTCTTTTGAACTCTGGTCTTTGGCTGCCTCAGATGGGCAGTCTCTGGAATAATCCTGCGCTAACTCTGCCCTGTGCCTTGAGCCTTGGAAAATTGTCTGGCTCTCTGACATGGTTGCAGTTATTAGCCTTAAAATGTCATAAGAATCCTAGTAAGCCTAGAGCAACTGGATGCAATTCAAAAACCATGACCTTTGGCTTAAAAGGGAGAAGATGTTTCATTATTCTTACCTGAGCTAACAAAGCTAAGATGAAGCAAAAGGAAGATTGACGATTTTCCCAGATACATTTTTAATGTATCTTGTTTAGTTGCACTTTTTCCACTGGAAAAAAAAGAGCAAGACACTTTAGTTTTAAAAGATACATAATGAGAACATACAGGCAGTCTGATTCCTTTTTACTCTAAGGATATGACTAATTTAATTAAGATAAGATTCTGAATTGGAAAGTCCTACAACTAAGAAAGCAAACTAAGATGCTAAGTTTAGCATTCCTTCTGGTACAGCTCTTTCCTTTATTTGTTTTCTATTTTTCATATTAGAAATACTTTTCTATTTCTGGAGGATTGTGGGTGATTCAACTTGCTGAATATTGTCAAAACCATCATCTAGAAATGTTTTCTAGACTGAACCTAACCAGACTAAATTAAAAGTAAATTCCATTAAAATCAGTTGTAGTTCATTCAGAACAAAAAATAGTTAGGGCTAGTTGACTTACTCTGAGCCATATCCAGCCATTGAATGATAAGCATAGGTTCAGCTCAGAGAATGGGATCCCCTAGTTTTCTACACATCCAATTTCACAATATATTAAACAAATGGCAACATTTATGTATCTGCTTCTGAATATACCAAGTGAAAAATAAACATTTATGGTGAAACTACACGTTACTTCAAAGCAAGGATCTCCAGCATTTTTAAGCCCTTGAATGTATTAAGAACACTGAAAAAATGCTGAGGGTACAATCACAAAATGGCTGCCCCTGATCTCATCCCACTCATTTTCCACTCACCCCCTTACTGTTGCACCTTCAATCCACGAAACAGAGTCACAGCCCACCCAGTGCTTTTTCTCCATTCCTGCCTGCTGTAATCATCCCCAAGGTGTGTGTTCAGAAGATGTGGTAAAATTCCAGCAAAGAACTGACAGCAGGGACTATTTCAGTCATCCAAAAATGCAATCTGGATTTAATATCCATATTAAAGGTTCAATCTTTCAAGATATAGCTAGTGGCTATGGCTTTTTACCTTATTAAAAGGACAGGAGGACCAGTTTAGGTCAGAGTCCTAGCATGGTAGATAGGATGGCCTTTGCCCACTGTAGCTGCAATCCAAAATGGGAGCCATGCTTGCAATTTACATTGCCAAGATGTGATCCAATAAAACAAATATATCACTCTTGGGCAGATTTGTGAGGCCCAATCCAGGCTGGGATGGTAGACAGAGAATATAAAGCCTCTGACCTTCCATTCTAGGGTCTCAATATGTATTGGTTCACCTGCACTTTGAGTAAAAATGAAAACCCATCTTTCCAAGTTATTTCTAGGCTGCTTTTAAGTTCTTAAAGCAACATGTAATTTGGCTTTCACATGACTGTAAGCAAACCTGTAGTGGGAGGAATATACACACTGCATTGCTCTGTTGATGATAGAAGGGGTATAAGATAATGGACAGTCATGAGTAATGCCATTGTCTAACTCACTACCAGACATCTAACCTCGAATGATTATTATCATAATCTGTTAATATGTTCTGTCTTTTATTTTCCTTTGGTTTTCTGTTGTTTCATCTTGGTCCATTCAATTCCTTCTGCTCTCTTTTGAAATTCTTTGTTTTACTTGCCCCTTGGAACATCCAATATCCCTGTTTGCTGCTCCTGAATCCAGGAGGAGCACAAGCCTTGCCTTCAAAGTCCACCATGGCCATGTTCCTTCCTATCACTCTGTATACCATCACAACCTTTCCTGTGACTATCACTTGGCTAGGTGTACTAGCCTCAGCTATCTGAACTGCTCAAAGAGCAAAGTGTGTATGAACTTGCTCTAAAGTTGCAACCATAAGCTTGCCTCCTGTATACAGGGTTGAGACAAAACAACGTATACTTAACAGTCGAAGGTAGGCTGTTGTTGAACCATGGGTTGTTGAAATGTGGGTTATCATGCTGTCTCTGAATCCAGCAGAAATACCAAACCATGGTGAAGCAAACAAGTCAAGGTGAAGCATGGAGAAGCTGTGCATGCTCAGAAAGTTTTGGCTATTGGGCAGTATAAAAATGGAATAAATAAATAAATAAATAAAATGGAGAAACTGTGCTCTGAGTGTTGACAACCAAGAACAAACCATGGGTTCTCTTCATGTGCTGCTCTGACGAAGCAGACAACTTCCATAGGTTAAGAACATAAACATCCTGTAACAAGTGTTCTGAATGTCTGAAGTCACCAAAAGAAGAAAGAAGTTGTGCAAAGGGAAGTGAGATAACTGAGTTAAACTGCCTAAATTAAGATCAAAATAAGGGAAAATCTGTTTCTAACCAATTTTCTTTGTTCCACGTGTAATTTGGAATGCAATTTACTGTATGCACTATATTTGTGCTGCTCATGTGCAATATCCCCCAAGCACCACCTTCTGGAGCCTATCATCCAAGTAGGCGCAGGGCCACTGCAACGCAGTGCCTCTCACACCCGACTCAGAAGGATACAATGGTCAATGATATCAAAAGCTGCCGAGAGGTCCAAGAGAACTGACAGGGCCATACTCCCACATCTCTCTCTTGGCATAGCTCATCATGCAGGGCACCCAAGTCTGTTTTGGTGCCGGAATCAGGCCTGAAGCCCAAATGAAATGGATCCAGATAAGCAGCTTCATCCAAGAGTACCTTGGCAATCACCTCTCTAGAGCCTTGTCCTGAAAAGGAATATTTGCTACTGACCTAACATTATTCAGCTCTTCTGAGCCAAAGGAGCATTTATTCAGAGGTGGCTGCATCCTTTCCCATCTTCCTTACTAAATTTTTGTGTGTGGAAGAAGGTAGTGGGAAACTTGGGACGAATAGGCAGAAGGTAAGTATTGCTCTGCAAAATCCCATGAATGAGGCAGGGCAACTGTAAGATAAAAGTCTCATAGGGAAGCAACCCTGGAAAAAGCATTCCAGATGAGATCATTTAATTTCTCACTTTATACACCTTTGGATGCTTCCAGGTAAGGCCTAAATGACACCATTGCCCAGCCTCAATCACAATATTTTGCAACATCTTAAAGGACAGGGTCTGCAGCTTGGGAGTACTCCTTGACCCAGAGCTGTCACTGGAAGTCCAGGTGGCAGAGGTGGCAAGGAGTGTTTCTTACAGCTTCGGCTGGTCCATCAGCTGCATCCTTACCTGGACGAGCATTGCCTAGCAACAGTGGTACATGCTCTGGTAACCTCTCGGTTGGATTACTATAATGCTCTCTATGTCGGGCTGCCCTTGAAAATGGTTCGGATACTTCAGTACAAAATAGAGCTGCCATGCTGCTGACGGGGACCGATCATTATTCTCATATAACGCCAGTCTCTACCAATTCCACTGACTTCCAGTTGAAGTCCGGGCCCAATTCAAAGTGCTGGTTTTGACCTATAAAGCCCTAAATGGCTTGGGACCAGGATACCTGAAGGAACAACTTCCTTATATGCCCTCACGCCCCTTAAGATCTGAGGGAGAGGCCCTGCTCCAGGAACCCTCCTGGAAGGAGGTAAAAAGGAAATTTACTCAGAGTAGGGCCTTCTCTGCAAGGGCACCCAGATTGTGGAATACACTCCCCAAAGAGGTTCGCCTGGTGCCGAGTTCATACTCTTTTTGGCGCCAGGTCAAAACCTTATTTGTTATTTAAAAAATTAGTATTTTAATCCAACAGTCACATATTATTGGTTATATGTTATTTATTCTTTAGATTGTTTTTAATGTATTTGATTTTACTGATTGTGAGCCGTCCCGAGATACCATGCATAAAGGATGGCATATAAAAGTTTTAAATAAATAAATTATAAATAAAACATCTTGTACTTTCAGCCTCCCTGTATTTTCTCTTCTCTCTTCTTTTGTCATTTTCCTTAGCACTAAAACTCCTCCACTTGGGTGCATCCTTGGAACAGAGCTAGACTACAATGTAACCATATAGAAAGGAAGGGGACAGGTGACTTAAAACTTTTATAACACTGCGTAATGTTGGGCAGATGCCTCTAGCAAGTGAGCAACTACAGGGCATCAGTGCCATTTCCAAGAACAAGGAGACACCAGAAATTGCCAAAGCACAAGCAAAAGGATGCAGGACTCAAATTGCAGCCAGTACCCCTCCAGCCCCGGGTTAACTCCTTGACAGGTGAGTGAGCTTAGGATTCTAGCCTCTGTTCTGCAGGCTTCACTGAGCGATCTTACCCCAAATCATTGTGAAACAGGCAGGCCGTGAGATAGCTACTCGGCTGCAAAGACACAGCGCCTTGGCTGAACCCCCTCGATGAATGAGCTTGCAACGAGAAGGAGGCAAAGAAAGGCCCTTACCTTAACAGAGGGTGGCGCTGACAAGAGTGGACACGAGCAGCTTGGGGGAACCTGGCTGAGAGCTACGAAGAGAGCGGAGCTTCCCACCGAGGAGCACTTCAACCCGCTAGAAAGGAGAAGGGACACGAAGAAGCGTCCCATCCGGGGAAGGAACTGAATGCAAGGTGAGAAGTCCTCTGCCTCAGTCGGGCGAGAGCAATAACTTATACGGCCCGCAAGGCGAAGAAAATGCGGATCAAGTCCTTTAAAAGGAAACGAGAAGTTGCTAAGTGTCGACTTCCTGAGAAGCTCCGCCCTCTGCCTCGAAACCTCTCGGTCCTGCTGCCCTCACGTGCGTGTGCCGCGCCGGCAATTTACTCCGGGGACCGAGCGATGGTAGTAGAAGCGGGGTAGCTGGATTCCGGCGCAAGAAGAGAACTTCTGGGAAAGCTGTACCACTTTCCCTGCAACAAGACAGACCCAAACAAAATTGATTGCAAATCAAAATCAGTTTCCTGTGCTCCACTTGAGAGTAAGGCCCCTTGAAATTAGTGGGTCTTACTCCCAAGTAACCCTGCAATAGATTAAATCTGTCATCCACCTCTCTGCTATAGTCATTGCACGCAGCTAAGCGACACGCTTTGGCGGCGTGCTTTAAAATCGGAACCTTAAAAAAAATAAACATGCATTATTTCACAAAACTGTGGATATGGAAAGGTGAGTTGCGTTGCTCAACTGTTCTCATGGGCAGTACCCAATAGGAGTATATGACATTTACACAGACACATTTCTCAAGGCACCTGCAAATGGAAGGGCTGTTCTATCTGAAGAAGAATCACATTTTCCCAGGAACAAAGGATAGTAGTTGAATGGCTGGAAATTATGCTTACCTGAGGGGTAGATGCCTGGATCCCACCCAATGTAGAGCAACAACAAATAAAAATCTGATGGAGCATTTCTGGCACAGCCCTGCTTAGACCCTTGGGACCTGTTCTGAATCCCTCCTCCAGATTCCCCCACTGAAGGAAATTAAGTGAGTGACTACAAGAGAGAGGACCATGTGTGAGTTGTGGCACCCCAAGAAGGCTCACAAACACCCACCTTGTTATCTGCTTGGTGCTGGGCAACAACTTCTCTCCTGGGTATTTTAGAATTTAGTGCGGTTTGCAATGTTATGGCTAGGGCTTCCAAGGGAGTGGTTGAGGTCCCATCAGTGAGGGTGTTCAAGGAAAGATTGGACAACCACATGTTGGGGATTACATGAGCAGAGCTAGCTGGAGCTGGGGTCCAGACTAGATGGCCTGAGAGACCCCCTTTGACTCACTTTGTTTCTACATTTCTATGTTAAATATTATATAACATTTAGTCCTGTGCTGCCTCTTGTTTTCTATTGGATTGAATTACTTTACCTTTTACCATTACCTTTACAAAATCTATTTTAGATTGTGCGGTTTATACATGACTATATAATAAAATAATATGCAAACAAAAGTGTTGATGGATTAAAGCAAAGCTCACTTTGTCAGTCTGCATTCTGACAAAATCAGCTATCTACTTTTGTTCTGGTGTTCTTAAGTATAGTATAAAGGAGATGTTTGTCCCAGCATTTGGAATTCACTGATATGTTGTTTTTGTATGTAGAAGTTCTATTCAGCTGTTGCAGCAAATAAGTAGAATGTTTACAGGAAGGTATGGTGTGAACACAGCCTACGGAGAGCATGAGACCTAGAAAAAGCACAAATTAAAGGAAATGTCAGTTTGCCTTTCTGTAAAGCACACAGGAATAATGGTACTTAAAGGAAGGGTGAACTTATGGGAAACAATTGGTTTTTCTCTTATCCCCCAAAACTGCTGTACATTCCAGTCTATTTTGGCCTTTTAAATAGCTCAGCTGTTTCTTAGAATAGGTGTCATTCACATTCAAGAATCCGCATAAAGACAGTTGAATCTTGAGAAGTTTACTGTGTAGTGGATGGAAAAGAGCAGATATACTGGCCTTCCAAGACTAGATACCACTTCAGCCAGTCAAAATTAGCAGTTACCCCAGGGATCTCCAAAGGACCCCCAAGGTGCCTGCAAAGTTTTGCCTTCCCTGCCCCCTTCAAAAAATATTTTTAATTTAAATATATGTGAATTTTTCCAGGAGGTTAATCTAAGCATGCAAAACTGGTCCAACTGTAATTGATGTGATATTGTCCACCAGCAACTTTGACAGTAGGAGGAGCCCTGTCTATTTTAACATGCTGGGAGAACCTGCAGCCTTAAACAGGGATTGTGCTTCTGCCTCCAATAAATTGACTGGCTTTGGAAGTCTTCTATTTTTATTCAGTTACTTGGGTGAATAACTCGCCATTAAACTAACAAGGCTTCCATGGCAGTCATTACCAGATCAGCAAAAATCATAGAATCATACAATAGTAGAGTTGGAAGGGGCCATGAAGGTCATCAAATTCAACCCTTGGCTGTTGTAGGACACCACATTACACCATCCCACTCAGATGGCTCTCTAGTTTCTTTTTGAATGTCTCTAGTGTGGGAGAGCCCATCACCTCTCTAGGCAGCTGGTTCCACTGTCGTATTGGAACCTTTGTACTGGAACCTTTGTTGCAATGGGGGTGGCATGAAATGTTTTAAATAAATACATAAACCTTTGTGTATATCAGTTTTGGTGATGCTCCCAGGTTTTTCAAACTTGCAAAATTACTTACGGGTTCTACGACGTTGGAGAGCCCTGCTACAAGGAATCAATGGGGACCCAAGTAGTCACACTATGTCCAAGTAACATTCAAAAAGAAATTGCATTCTTCACAAGTGCCCTCCCTAACCTTGTGCTGTTCAGATGTTTTGCACATCAGCTCCCATCAGCCTTGGCTACCAAGGGCAATGGCCAGAATGCTAGGAGCTGCAGTATTCCTGGGGGTACATCTGGTTGGGAAGGGCTGTCCTGCAGCATGGAGTGGCTAAGTGGACCCAAAGTGGGATTTTGCCAAGTGCCAAGTGGGATTTTGACATGTGTACCCATTCATACAGGAGGGGCAAGCTTCACCTGTTGAAATTCCTTCTTCCATATGGATAGTTAAAAAGCACCACTGCCATCTCCCTCATTGCATATGATCACATAGCAGATGGCTAGCCTTCTACATAGCCCTTTTTTGTTGCTGGTTTTCATATTTAAAGATAAACTACTTATGAATATAGAAGCTCTGTTTTCTGCTTCATGGCCAATAGCAGTTGACAGAGTGGAGACTACAAAGATGCAAAGAAATGCATTAATCCAACAAGTCATATATTCCTCCTCAAGGAAATGGAAGTTATAGATACAATATAGCTATATCTGTATATGTTTGTATGCACACACATATAACCACATGAAAATGGAATTGATATCAGATTAAAATATTGATTATCTATTTATTATAACTATTTTATATCAGTTATATTCACAGGGTAGTTTACCAAAGGAAAAAAAAAATGGAATTACTATGTATGATGTTGATGCATGGCATTGGGTCATCTCTGACTTATGATGACCCAATGAATGAATATCCTCCAAAATGTCCTGTCCTTGACAGCCCTACTCACTTCTTGTAAACTCAGGGTGGTGGAATCAACTTCTCATAGTTGGTCTTCCTTGGCTTCTTCTGCCCTCAGTTTTCCCTAGCATGATTGTCTGTTCCAGTGAGTCTTGCTTTCTTCAGTGAGTCTTCTCCTGACATTCCCAAATTACATCAGATTCAGCTTTCTCATTGGCTTTTAGCTTTTTATATCTATTATATATAAGAAGTAAGAAACCCAAGTCATTGAAATAACATAAACCAGTAGGCTGGCTCAAACTTGTATGTGAAACCCTAAAGGCAATTTTAAAAGTCTTTGCCTGGCCTCCAAAAGACAAAAAGGTGAGCACTAGAAGAGAGATAGATGGCTGTGGGAGGATAATAAATAATAAATCTGGAATTTCTTTCCAGATTTCTAGACTGTTTCTGCTGCTAACAGTGCCATCTGCTGACCATGACCAGGAAGGCCTCTGCAGTTATAGGCAGCCTATAAATATATGTAGGTAGGTAGGTAGGTAGGTAGGAAGGAAGGAAGGAAGGAAGGAAGGACCAATTGCATTTTGTATAAAATTAGCTCCTGGTGTCTCTTCATGAGGAATGTACCCCATCACTTTACTGAGTCCTGGGGGGGGGGGGCAGAGATCTTTCAGAAAGGACCCATTTAAAGGGACACCATTGATTGCCTCATCGTTATAAGGCCAACTGTGACTTGATTACATCTTGCTGGCATTTGGTATGTCACATATTTCCAGAGTGCAAAGTCAGGTGAAGATGGCTGCGCCATGTACTTTGCTTTCCATTTATAGTCCCTTGCTGATGAATGAGATGCCCAAGGGAAACCTGAAACTATGAATTCTTTCCAATTTTCTCCTTTCTAACAGTATCACTTTCATGTTATTGAATAAGGGCACCACTGTAAATGCAATCTGGTACTCCATTGCAGAATATCCACCCTTGGCCAGGCATTGTGTTCAGAGGATTGTCCCTCCTCCGCCCTTTGTATTCTCTGTTCAATTGCATGTGGAGCATCCATCAATTGATCAAGAAATTCAGAGAGAGCAAGAACACTTTCTGATTTGGTTGCATACCTTTCCAAAGGGCCATAGAATCTGGGACCTGGAAGAAGCCAGCTGTTGCAGCACCTAGAGCAGGGAACATCTGCTCCACAGTCGGTTGGGTTATAGACACCAGAGAGGGATCCACCATTAGGCAAGGTGAGGCAATTGCCTCAGGGGGCAAATGCTGGAGTGGAGGAGCAGCAGGAGCAACCTTCTGGCTGTTCTTCTTGAGCCCTTTTGCTGGTTTCCTCTGACCCCAGTGGAGTGCTAGACGCTGCCCAATCCCAGTGTGAAAGTAAGATCCAGCTGCCAATCCAGCTGCCTTCTTTGTATGAAATGGGAAGAAGACTTAAGCTGGTCATTCACCCCAGGCTGCAAATGCCTCTACCCTAATGTCTGTGAGTCATGAAGATGCCGTACCAAATCAGGACTTGGAAGGGTCCCAATTGGCTTGCTTTGAAGAATGTTAGAGGAGGGCCATGGGTACAACACAAAGCCCATCATCTTTAGTGACACGATGGCAACATAAAAGCCTCATTCTATCATCTGCCACGGCCATCCCTTGCGAAGATGCAGTGTGAAGCAACTGACGGAGGCATCAGATTCAAGACAGCATCCCCCGGCCTTCAAGCACAGTGTTCT